AGCTGCACATGCTCAGTTTGGTGCGTATTGCTAGAGAGTTTTCTTTTTTCTTGGGAGAGTGCATGTGATCAGCACAGGTGCTAATCAACGCTGTCCAGACAGAGGGTCAGGGGTTATGCAGCCTCATAGGACAATCAGAGGAGAATGAAACCTCCTCCTACAAGCTTTACTCAGTGCTCTACTGGACACTGATAAATGTTCCAAGACTACTGTAGCTGCTGAGAGAAAATGTATTTAGCAGTTTATATTTACTAAAATAATTGCATTTCCATGTTCTGTGTGTACTAAAAAAAAAAATCAGCACAAGTTACACTTTACATTCACTATAAGTACATTCCTTGTGCTGATTTTTAATTTTTTTGGTAGTACACACAGAACATGGAAATGCAATTATTTTAGTTGCTGGCTCCAGTTTTAGTTGAAATCCAAAGTCCTCTGATTCCCCCTCCCCAACGCTGCAGTAATTTTCTGGTGCTGCAGGGGTTAATAGAGCAAAGGGACATCTTTGACAGCCCCTCAGTCAGCTTCTCGGCCTCTCAGGTAGCCCAGCTGAGGCCTCACGAACAGCAAGCACATGGCAGGATCGCCCAGAGGGAAGCAGGCCCTCCAGGCTGGACTTCTGCTCTCCAGGAGAAGATGATTCTGCCCAAGTCTCAGACAATCAAAAGCTGTCTAACCCAGCCTTTCTCAGCCAGGGTGCCTTGAGGTTTCTTCAGGGGTGCCTTGGCAAAATGTCTAAAAATTGCCCAAAACTTGTATACAAGCCAGTGGGTGGAACAAGCAAGCCACAGGTTTTCATTGTGGACCATTACGACCTTCTAGCCGCCGGCATCCTGACAACCAATGACATCATCAGTTGATAAGGAGGATGTCGGTTGCCTGCACAGCATCCTAGTTTGATCATTCCCTCCCCTCTCCATCAGTACTGGGGTCACATTAGCTCAATGATGCAGAAAAACTGAGGGAGAAGAGAAACACTGGAATACTAGTCAGTACCACTGTGCAAAAGTGTATTTGCTTTGGAAGAATAAATAATAATAATAATAATAAAAGAATAAAAAGTTGGGTGTTCTACATGTGTGGGTGTTGCTGCGTTATATAAAACTATTAGAATAGTTTTTCACATTTTAGAATGGGGTGCCTCAAGACTGTCCATAATTTGAGGGTTCCTTAGGACTGTCCGTAATATTAAAGGGTGCCTGGGACTGTCCATAAATGTGAGGGTGCCTGGGGACTGTCCATAATGTGAGGGTGCCTGGGACTGTCCATAGTGTGAGGGTGCCTGGGGACTGTCCATAGTTGTAAAGGCTGCCTTGGTACTGTCCATAATTTTAAAGGGTGCCTCGGGACTGTCCATCATTTAAGGGTGCCTCAAGACTGTCCATAATTTGAGGGTGCCTCGGGACTGTCCATAATATTAAAGCGACCCTTGGGACAGTCCATAATTTTAATGGGGGCCTCAAGACTGTCCATGATAGTAAAGGGTGCCTCAGGACTGTCCAAAATTTTTAAAGGGTGCCTCGGGACTGTCCATAATTTAAGGGTGCCTCAAGACTGTCCATAATTTAAGGGTGCCTCAAGACTGTCCATAATTTGAGGGTGCCTCGGGACTGTCCATAATATTAAAGCGACCCTTGGGACAGTCCATAATTTTAAAGGGGGCCTCAAGACTGTCCATGATAGTAAAGGGTGCCTCAGGACTGTCCAAAATTTTTAAAGGGTGCCTTGGGACTGTCCATAATATTAAAGGGTGCATCTGGACTGTCCATAACATTAAAGGGTGCCTCAAGACTGTCCATAATTTAAGTAAATAGAAATAAAGCATTGTACCAATTAATCAGTGCAGCAAAGGGTTTGACCAAAATTTTGGTTAGTGGCAGAGGTTCCGAGGGTGGTGGATTGGATAGATAGAGTGGAAAGCATTTTCAGAATGGAAGAACTGAGAAGTTTAGAAGAGGATAAGATGGGAATATTTAAAAGAATATGGAGTGTTAGGTTAAATTTTAAAACCGCAGAATCTTATACAGAACTAAGGAGGTAGCCCAAGAAATCACAATGAGATTGGTCGGAATATCAAGTTATGGAGAAATGGATACAGATAGAGAAAGATAAGACAATGATGGGGGGATGGGCGGGGAGGAGTTATAGAATGTATTATTCATTTAGGGGAGAAAAAAAAAAGAGAAAAGACTGTCCATAATTTGAGGGTGCCTCAAGACTGTCCATAATTTGAGGGTGCCTCAGGACTGTCCATAATTTGAGGGTGCCTCGGGACTGTCCATAATTTGAGGGTGCCTCGGGACTGTCCCTAATTTAAGGGTGCCTCAGGACTGTCCATAATTTGAGGGCGCCTCAGGACTGTCCATAATTTAAGGGTGCCTCAAGACTGTCCATAATTTGAGGGTGCCTCGGGACTGTCCCTAATTTAAGGGTGCCTCAGGACTGTCCATAATTTGAGGGTGCCTCAGGACTGTCCATAATTTGAGGGTGCCTCAAGACTGTCCATAATTTGAGGGTGCCTCAAGACTGTCCATAATTTGAGGGTGCCTCGGGACTGTCCATAATTTAAGGGTGCCTCGAGACTGTCCATAATTTGAGGGTGCCACAGGACTGTCCATAATTTGAGGGTGCCTCGGGACTGTCCATAATTTGAGGGTGCCTCGGGACTGTCCATAATTTGAGGGTGCCTCGGGACTGTCCATAATATTAAAGGGTGCCTCAGGACTGTCCATAATTTTAAAGGGTGCCTTAAGACTGTCCATGATAGCAAAGGGTGTCTCAGGACTGTCCATAATTTTAAAGGGTGCCTCAACTGAAAAAAGGTTGAGAAACCCTGGTCTAGCCCGTACTGTCATCAATGCACTGAGAGGAGAGAAAGCCATTGGGATTTCAAATTCCCAGCTTTTCCTTCTGTGACAACATGGGTTTGGTGCAGGGAGGTTTCCTGCACTGATCCTGTGTGAACTTGGGCTATGACAAGCCTAGGTTCACACAGGAGCAATGGGGAAACCGCATGCGATTTGGACAGGACTGTTTCAGAGAAATACAGAGAGTAGAAGCAGAGACAGCAGTATGTGTTGAGATTAGTTTAGGTGTGAGTTGCTCATTAACATTTCTTGTTTCCAAGGGTGGGAAAGATGTCTGGTGGAGGGAGTCATTAAGCCCACCCGGCAGGGGGTCTTCATGAGGAATTTGAGGTGTGATTGGTCATTAACATATCTTTTGTTTCCAAGGTTAGGAGAGGTCTGAGGTGTGAATTGGTCATTACAAATGTGTGACAAGCTTGGTAGGAACATCCTGTGTTCAGTGTTTTGTCCATCTGAGTACCTTGAAAACGCTTTGCATGCATTTTTCATGATGAAAAAAGGCTCTGGACAGCATTGGGAACTGGAAGAGTAAAAAAACATTTTCAGATGCAAACACAGCTAAACGTGAGATTTGCCGTATTTAGCCACACTTACAAGCGTTTTGCGTTTGAAACACTGATAAAATTAACTGCTGAACGCAAGTTTTCTGCGTTCAAAAAACTGTAAACTCAAATGCCTGTAAATGACTGTAAACGACGATGTGTACATGAACACATAGGAAAACATTAGGGTGAGTTCAGGGGCTGCTGAAAAAAAACCGCTGAACAGCTCCTAAACGTGTGCATCAGCTGCGGTGTACATGAGCCCTTAGGGTCGTTGGTTCAAATCCCAACCCCAGCACCACCTGCCTGGAGTTTGCATGTTCTCCCTGTGTTTGCGTGGGTTTCCTCCGGGTACTCCAGTTTCCTCCTACACTCCAAAGACATTTGCAACTTGTCTAAATTGGTCCTGGTATGTATAGGAATGAATGTAAGCTAGGGAGCTTATGCCCCTTGAGAGTTAGGGACTGATGTGAATGTACAATATATACGTAAACAGGGGGACTGACAACTCATGGGGCCCCCAGGCAATAGGGGATCAGGCGGCCCGTGTCCTTGTCCAAACTCAAAAAAGCCCATGAAAAAGGTACCAGGGGCATCTCATGGGGCCCCTACTGATCCCGGGCCCTCGGGCAGTGCCCGAGTTTCCAAAGGGTCAATCCGCCCCTGTATGTAAATCAATGGCGCTATATAAGTACCTGAAATAAATAAATAAATTGTGGCCCTTGCACTCCTTTTTATGCTGAGGTATAGCAGCTCCATCTAGTGGCCAGTCTGGAAAGTTCCTTGACCATGTATAAGGATACACCAGACGCAATGCTTTACATATACTGTATATTGTACATTTACATCAGTCCTTGTCCTCAAGGAGCTTACAATCTAAGGTCCCTAACTCACATTCATACATTATATATCATATATATTAAGGTCAAGTTAGACAGGAGCCAATTAACCTATCAGCATGTGGAGGTGGGAAGAAATCGGAGTACCCGGAGGAAACCCATGAAGGTACAGGGAGAACATGCAAACTCCATGCAGGTAGTGCCATGGTTGGCATTCAAACTGATGACCCCAGTACTGCTAGGCAGAAGTGCCCAATTAATAAAATAGTAACTGTCTTGACGAAGAGAGATTTAATCTCCAAATATGGAAAGGTTTCTTCACAGTAAGAGCTGTGAAAATCTGGAATAGACACCCTCAAGAGTTGGTTCTGGCCAGCTCAGTGGATTGCTTTTAAAAAGTCCTGGATTCTTTCCTAGATACACAGAATATAGCCGGATACTAACATTTATAGGTAAAGTTGATCCAGGAAATATCCGACTGCATCTCGGGGGATCAGGAAGGAATTTTTCCCTGCAGGAGCAAATTGGTTCATGTTTTGTTGAGTTTTTTTGCCTTCCTCTGGATCAACTGTGGGTATAGGATTGTAACTTTTTTTTTTTTTTAATGTTTGAACTTGATGGACTTTTGTCTTTTTTCATCTGGAATAACTATGTAACTATGTAGTGGGATTTAATAAAAAAAGAAAATGAAAAAAATAAAACAATTTTAAAGCACCATGAAAACAAATTCAGAAATTGATTAAAATAACCATTTATTATGAATATCCAGATACAGGTGCATCTATGGGGCTCCGAGGTCCAGTCCAGAGCAAATCAATATGTCACTCATAGAGGTCACCCATCCACCAGAGAAGCCACACTAGATCCAAGGTATTTGTCCTCCTCTTGCTAGGGCACAGATACATCCAGGGGCGGACTGACCATTTGGAAACTTGGGCACTGCCCGAGGGCCTGGGGTCAGTAGGGGGCCCCATGAGATGCCCCTGGTACCTTTTTCATAGACTTTTTTGAGTCTGGGCAAGGACACAGGGGCCCCATGATATCCTAATGACCAGGGGCCCCATGAGTTGTCAGTCTGCCTCTGCCTGGTACCTTTTTCAAAGGCTTTTTTGAGTTTGGGCAAGGACACAGGGGCCCCATGGTCCCCTATTGCCCGGGGGCCCCATGAGTTGTCAGTCTGCTCCTGGGTACATCTATACTTACCTGCACTGGCAACGTGTATTCATATGGCCACTGGAGATGTGGCCCCTGTCTTGGGGTCTGGGCCTAGGTAGAGGGGCCACATCTTCAGGAGCCATATGACTACAAAGTTTCTTCTTTAGAATATATGCAGTTACGCATAGATGAGTACTATTTTTTTTTTTTTTTTTTTTGTTAGATTTGCGTCAAAATGTTCAGGACAAGCTTTGCAGGGAGTTCCCTTCGTCTTTGTCCAAGCAGTACTGATACACAAAGCTTTAGGATCACTTAAATAAAAATCTCCTAAAAACACACACACCGGCACACAAAGTAATAATGAGGGAAAGTCAGATAAGGAGAAGATTGGGCAATGGGATGGAACCTGGGGAGGGGAAGTCATAGAGGGGAGTGGTTATAAAAGGATTTATTAAAAATTTAAAAAAAATCTGAGATCCGCATTCAGTGTCAGATATCTTTAGCATCAAACAGAATTATCAGTCACACTTCAAAAGGTTTTTTTTCCCCTAAAGCACGGGTGTCAAACTCATGGCCCTCCAGCTGTTGCAAAACTACAAGTCCCATGAGGCACTGCAAGATTGACAGTTACAAGCATGAATCCCAAAGGCAGAGGCATGATGGGACTTGTAGTTTCACAAAACAGCTGGAGGGCCGCCAGTTTGACACCCCCACCCTAGAGTGTTTCCTTTGAAGAATCAAAACATGCATGTCTTCCATACAGGGCTGCTGTTAGAAATTACAGAGCCACGTACATCCTACCCGACAGGAGGTAGGACAGATTAACACCAGATCCCCCCCCCAAAAAAAAAAAAATAGATCAAATTAAATTTTAGCTTAAATTCCACAGCCGCAATGTTACGCGTCACAGCCATGGCAAAATCATACCCTCGTGGAACAAGACCCATGCAATTGATTAGGACTGCTCATACGGTCACAGTGCGCTAGTGTGAGGTCACAGCAATACGCCTTCTCATTGCCTGTCAAACACTATCTGAAGAGCAATCCAAATGCTGCTATTCGGAGAGCAAAGCGCATTTGAACGGGTTCTTAATTTTTTTTTAATTTATCATTTATTTTTAGTACATTACTGTTTTTATTTTTACATTTTTAAACATGCCCTATTGGGGGGCTTTGGTGAAATATTAGGGGTCTTAAAAGACCCCTCATGTCTAATATTTGAGATTGAGAACATAGATCAGACCCTCTCTCTGCAGCCTCAGCTGCACTGGAGATGAATGAATAGGAAGCACTCTGAGGCATACTATGCTTCCGTGATCAATGGACACAGGAGCGATCAGTACCAATCGCTCACTGTGTACATTCAGGAAAGGAAGGGAATGGTAAATATAACATTTATTGACCACCCGCTCTCCATTCTGAAACACTCCCCTTGTGTGCCGGCAGCAGCTGTCAGCATGAGAAGAGGGAAGCCGGCAGAGCTGCAGGGGGGGGGGGGGGGGGGGCTTATGGACAGCAAGTAGAAGAGGGCACAGATACTAGTACTGGTCACAGATGGAGGGTGAAAAGGGAATCGAAGCTGCATGGAGATCCACAAGTGTCAGTAACGGGGCCGTACAGCCTGCCCTCCTGATTGGTAGGTGCCTGGGCCCAGTACAGGAGGGCCGGCTGTACTGCCTCATCAGAGGCCCCGCTTCCATAGAACAGTTCGGTTGTGAGGAATGCCGTCCCTCAAGTGTGCAGTAATCAGCCTCCTTGTGTTCTTTTATTGTGTCTATGTAGATTCATTTTTTTTTTTGTAATACATGTCCAGGTTCCACCATTGTAACATCCCTGGCTGCACTTGTTGAATATATAAAAAATGATCTAAGGTCGTTCACACAGACCACATGCTAGTCATTGCTACCACAGTGAGCCTCCAGGAACCATTCGGGGAACACTTTCCATTCTCTCAATGAACGCAAAAAGTTCTCTGAATGGACGAGGTAGAGAGGCAGGGCAGTGACATCACAATCTCCACCTTGTCCAATCAGAAAACACTTTGCATTCATTGAGAAAAAGGAAAGTGCTCTCTGAATGGCGCCTGTGCCAAGTGGATGATCCTGTTTTCAGTGAGCAGCAGGACACAGGACCTGGAAGCCAGTGCAGATCCAGTGGGGAAGAGGTGTGAACTACAGTGATTTCCACCTCCCAGGGGGATGATGTAACTATGCAAACATTTATTGAAATGTCAAAGCTCAAGTGCTCTGTGACAACAAATAAAAAATGTAGCATGTCTGCATTTTTATGTGACCCACCTGAAGGCAGCAATTCAATCAGAGGTGCGTAGCGATGATCACGATCTGTAAAATACCAGTCCTTGCCCATAGGGTGATCGAACCCTAAATCTCTATCAGTTCTAGAACGTTCCCACCGCTGGGAGTCTTCCCCCCAACCATCCCATACACATACATATACTGCTTCTCCACCCACTATCTGGCTGTCTCACTTTTATCACCGTGTGTGGAGACGTTTATTACAGAGTGTTGTTCCTGACATTTTTCTACAGCTTTGTGAGTTGGTAATGCTTGGACCAAGAAGAAGGGAACACCCACTAGCTTGTTCTGAACGTTAATTGTTAGGGTCCTTTAATACAGGCGTTCCGTTTTTTCCATCAGTTCAATTGTGGCTTTTATTTTTCAAAATCGGAGCTAAACAGATCAAGACTTATCTCCATTTATATCCGTTTTTCCATCCCTTTTTTCATCCGTTTACAACCTTTTTTCCATCTGGTTACATCTGTTTTTTCATCCCTTTTTTCATCCGTTTTTCCATCTGTTCTTCATTCATTTACATCCCTTTTTCATCCGTTTACATCCTTTTTTCATTGTTACATCCGTTTTTTCAACAATTTACATCTGTTTTTTCATCCGGTTACATCCATTTTTTATTCGGTTACATCTGTTTTTTTCCTCCATTTTTTCATTCGCTTACATCCGTTTTTCATCTGGTTCCATCTATTTTTTCATCTGGTTCCATCTATTTTTTCATCTGTTTACATCCATTTTTTTAATCTGGTTACATCTATTTTTTTCATTCGTTTACATCCGTTTTTCATCTAGTCACATCCGTTTTTTCATTCATTTACATCCGTTTTTCATCTAGTCACATCCGTTTTTTCATTCGTTTACATCTGTTTTTCTGGTCACATCTGTTTTTCATCTGGTTACATCTGTTTTTTCATCTGTTTTTCATCCGGTTACAACAGTTTTTCATCCATTTACATCTGTTTTTTCATCCGGTTAAATCCATTTTTCATTCAGTTACATTCGTTTTTTCATTAGTTTACATCCGTTTTTCATCTGGTTCCATCTATTTTTTCATCTGTTTACATCTGGTTACATCTATTTTTTCATTTTTTCATCCATTTTTTTCATTCTGGTCACATCTATTTTTTAATTTGTTTACATGCGTTTTTATCTGGTTACATCCGTTTTTTCATCCGTTTTTCATCCACTTACATCCCTTTTTCATCCCTTTACATCCCTTTTTCAATCAGTTACATTAGTTTATCCATCCATTTACATCCGTTTTTCCTCCGGCTAAATCAGTTTTTCATCCGTTTACATCTGTTTTTTCATCTGGTTATATCCATTTTGCATTCGGTTACATCTGGGTTTTTCCCTCAATTTTTCATTCATTTACATCCGTTTTCCATCTGGTTCCATCTATTTTTTCATCTGTATACATCCGTTTTTCATCTGGTTACATCTATTTTTTCATTCGTTTACATCCGTTTTTCATCTGGTCACATCCGGTTTTTCATCCGTTTACATCAGTTTTTCATCTGGTTACATCTGTTTTTTCTCCGGTCTGTTTTTTTTTTTTGTTACGAAAGGGTTTTCTTTTGTTCAGTAAAAACAGATGTTACCAGATGCCGACAGTAACAGATATAAACAAATGATCATCCGTTTACATCCACTAGTCCATAGAAATACAGGGGTGTCTGTTTTTTTTTATTTGTAACTGAACAGATGAAAAACGGACATACAGATCTCCCATGTGAAGGGACCCTAAAGATCCTTTCACACGGGCGTTCTGTTTTTTTCATCAGTTCAGTCACATTCAAGCCTTCATTTCTTACCTTAGTTTTCATATCCGATAAAATCCATTTTACATTTGTTTTTTATCCGGTTAGTTTTTTTTTAATGGAAGAAAAATTGGGTTTTCTTCTGTAAACAGATGTTAACGGATGTGGACATTGACAGGAGTAAACAGATGATCATCCGTTTACATCCCCTAGTCCATAGAAAATACATATGTCCATTTTTCATCCGTAAACGGACAGATAAAAAAAAATGGACATACGGAACGCCTGTGTGAAAGGACCCTAGGATGTTAGGGCTTTTACACAAAGGTGACCAGGTCGGTGGTAAAAATGGGTGCCTGAGCTGCAGTTTTACTGCCCCTCTGCATACTAACATTACAGTCTGACAAGGGCTGTACACATACTGAAGCCATAATCCTTTGTCTTATGACCGTGGCATTTTTAACTCTGGCAGCAGAGTTTGGCAGCAAACTCACCCTTTGTCAATAGGGCCACACCGCAACCGCGAGCCAAATGCTTGACTTTCCACAAATAAAAATTTCTGCTTGACAGATTACATATAAAAATAAAAAAAAGTTCCTCCTGAAGCTGCTGGTATAGCACCCTCTGAACAGTGTGAAAGTAACTGAGGCACACTGATACGTCCCCCATGAGCCCATTCAAAATGGATGTATGGTGTACTGCTGCGATTATGGAAACACAGGTAGTGTCATCAAGTCCTAAAGCTTTCAGATTAGCAGTCCCTTAGTTGTATTAATATTCACAGAAACTGCTGAAATGGAAACCTATAACTGACGTCACGTGTGATTGGCTCTGGTTGTACCGGTATTTCCCGTGTTGGATGTTATATTGCACACAATGTTACAGCCTAAGGAAATGAGTTTAGAGAACAAGGGAGTGTCCAGATTCATGATCTCGGTGACACACAGGTGATCCAGCTAGTATTCTTACTTCCTGCACATACAGACATCAGCCTAATGCAGGCCATAGATGGGTCAAAAATCGGCCGATTTTTCAGCCGAAAAAAAAAGTCGGCCGATTTTCGCACCGTTAATGGGTTAATTGGTCGGCCATTTCTCTGGATTTTGGCACTTTTTTTTTTTATCAGTAAAGTTGGAAAAAAAAAAATCGGGGAAGAAGGAAGAAAGAGAGGAAGAAGGAAAAAGAGAGGAAGAAAGAGGAAAAAAGAAGGAAGAAAGAAGAAGGAAAAAAAGATGGAGAAGGATCTACTGCTAAATGCAAGTTTCTGCTAAATGCAAAAACAAAAGACTGTAAACTCAACTGCCTGTAAACGACGATGTGTACATGGACACATAGGTAAACATTAGGGAGAGTTCAGGGGCTGCTGGAAAAAAAAAAAAAAAAAAAAAAACTGAACAGCTCCTGAACAGGGGCAGACTGACAACTCATGGGGCCCCCGGGCAATAAGGGATCATAGGGCCCCTGTGTCCTTGCCCAAACTCAAAAAAGCCTATAAAAAAAGAACCCGGGGCATCTCATGGGGCCCCCTACTGACCCCTGTATATCGCATGTGATTCAAACAGGAACCGCACCGCATTCCTGTGCAAATCACATGCGATTTGTGTGCAGTGCGATTGGAGCCATACATTTTGTATGGCTCAAATCGCACCGCACCAAAAATGTGCAGGACCCCATTTTTGGTCTGCAATAGAATCGGATCGCATTGGGTATTCACGCCTATGCGATCTGATTCTGAACATCGCAGCGTTTTTATGCGGACCAATTTCGGGGTCTTAACATACACACCCGCAGCAGTTCGCATGAACGGGGTGCAATTCTGATGCGGTGCGGAATTCACACAGAAAACACTGCGAATTCCAGACAGCATCAGTGTGAGCCCAGGCTAAGGCTGGCCATACACTATACAATTTTCTGTCCAATTTCCTTTAGATTTACCATTAACTATGTAGTGCAGCGGTTCTCAACCTGGGGGTCGCAACCCCTTTGGGGGTCGAATGACCATTTCCCAGGGGTCGCCTAAGACCATCGGAAAACACATATTTCCGATGGTCTTAGGAACCGAGACGCTGCTCCTGTCTCCGGCGATGTGTGGGCGGGATGATATGCTGCCCCTGCCACCGCCTCCTCGCCGCTGATTGGCCACCGGAACTGTAGCTCATACAGGCGGCCAATCACCGGCGAGAAGGTGGAGCTTGGAGCGGAGATCGAAGAAGATCGAGGGAGCTGCAGGAACGAGTGAAGAGAGAGGCCAGAGAAGGAAGACAGCTGACAGGTAAGTGCAAATTTTGCTGCTGCAGCCAGGTATGCAGGCTGTAGATGGGAGAGGGAGAGAGCGAGCCCAGGCTGGAGCAGGAGTCAGCAAGGTAAGTATCATTGGTGTCAGTGGGAGGGATAGTGCCCCATCATTTGTGTCACTAATACCAACGATGGGGCACTATTCCTCCCCCCACTGACACCAACGATGGGGCACTATTCCTCCCCCCACTGACACCAACGATGGGGCACTATTCCTCCCCCCACTGACACCAACGATGGGGCACTATTCCTCCCCCCACTGACACCCACAATGGGGCACTATTCCTCCCACTGACACCCACGATGGGGCACTATTCCTCCCACTGACACCCACGATGGGGCACTATTCCTCCCACTGACGCGAATGATGGGGCACTATTCCTCCCACTGACGCCAATGATGGGGCACTATTCCTCCCACTGACACCAATGATGGGACACTATTCCTCCCACTGACACCAATGATGGGACACTATTCCTCCCACTGACACCAATGATGGGACACTATTCCTCCCACTGATACCAACGATGGGACACTATTCATCCCACTGACATCAGTGATGGTGCGCTAGTCCTCCCACTGCAAAATTACAGTTATGAAGTAGCAACGAAAATAATTTTATGGTTGGGGGTCACCACAACATGAGGAACTGTATTAAGGGGTCGTGGCATTAGAAAGGTTGAGAACCACTGATGTAGTGCAAGGGCCTGCCTAACTGGATACAACTGAAAATGTTGTTTAGGTTTGACCTGAGTTATGCAGGCCATAGATGGGTTGAAAATCGGCCAATTTTCGGATCATTAGTGGGTTAAAAGGTCGACCGTTTTTTCGGGATTTTGGCACATTTTTTTTATCAGTAAATTTGGAAACAAAAATCAGCCAATTTTGCCAATCGGCCTATTTTCATGGCAATGATGGGCAAATCGGCCGATCTTTTTACCGATAAAAAATATACGCAGGAGCGGAGGAGAAGAATTCCAGTCCGCTATTATATTTGACATTAAAAAGTATTGCGGTTGCAACATTGTATCTATTTGTATCCTAATAAAACCATCTGTCTCCGAAATGGATACAAATAGATACAATGTTGCAACCGCAATACTTTTTCATGTCAAATATAATAGCGGAGCTCTCTGCAGGGACAGAAGTAATTAAATGCCAGCTGTAGACGGGACGAAAATCGGCCGATTTTGTTTTCGGTTGGTGGTAACGTCGGCCTATTGAACAACCGATTTTTCATTTTTTTGTTAACAAAACGGACGGTTTTTGACCCATCTATGGCTTGCATTAGTTTTAGTATAGTTTTTTGTAAATCTTAAGCAAAATTGTCAAGAAAATTGTATAATATATGACCAGCCCAAGGCCATTTTTACTGCTTTGCCAAATGAATGAGGTTTAGCTGTGCTGACTTTAAATCATTCAGATGCAAAGGAGAAAAAAAAAAAAAAAAAGACAAAAGACAAAAAAAAAAAAAAAAAAAAAAAATTATTTATTTTTAAAATTTTCCATGTGACTTTGCAAAGTGAATTTTCACCACAGTCAAGCTAAATGAAAATTGACTTTGCACTGTGAACACGCGTTACTCCTTTAGTGAATCATTTTATAGCACCGTTCAGTAATTTATACAGCAGCTTGGGTTGAGGGGGTTTAGGGAGAGCACAGAAATTTTTAAATATGGTCTTAATAATAGTGGATGTAAATCAAATTAATTGGAGTTTGCAAAAGCACTGTGTATCAAACAGTTGTCACTTGGAAAAATGCTTGCTTTCACCTTTTTTTTTCATCCTTTGCTGTATATCTCAGTGCTGCTGATCCCCTGAGACCTCTTTGAAGACACTTCCTGTCTACATGCAGGGATGGCTGCCTGGCATTTCTCAGGGCAGGTTTTCTAGAGGTGACAAGAGTAAACCATACCCGGTAATGTGTGTTGAAACAACCACTTTGTAGTCTTCATCAGAAACAGTCTGACAAGGCTGAACAATAATTAGAAGACAGAGAGAGTCGTCACCCAATTACAGGAAGCGCCTAAACAAGGACCCCAACGGCAGGATCACCTGGTATTTTTGATATGACAGAAAAATATAAAATTTATAAGTTAAAATGAAATTTTAGTGATGGGGTTTTTATACTTTCATGACCCCCAAAAAATGTGCAAAATAGTTTGTACTATTTACCATTTATTGATCTACCAGACAGTGGAACCTGATTGGTCTAGTGGCTGCAGGTCATATTTTAAAGAGTATCTATAGCCAAATTGTTTATTAGTTTTGAATAGATTGTGTAAGGGTTAAAACCCCTGTCAGGTTTTATTGTTGTGTGTCTACAGCAGAGATATTGTTTCAGGTGGAATATCCAGAATGTTTGAGTTTTTAAAAAGATTATATATATATATATATATACATATATATATACATACATATATATATATATATACACACACACACACACACACACACACACAAATACATATACACACTCTAGATTGCCAAAAGTATTGGTCGGCCTGCCTTTGACCACGCATGAACTTTAGTGGCCCCCCAGTCTTAGTCCGTAGGGTTCAATATTGAGTTGGCCCCGCCCTTTGCAGCTATAACAGCTTCAACTCTTCTGGGAAGGCTGTCCACAAGGTTTAGGAGGGTGTCTATGGGAAGGTTGGACCATTCTTCCAGAAGCACATTTGTGAGGTCAGGCACTGATGTCGGGGGAGGAGGCCTGGCACGCAGTCTCCGCTCTAATTCATCCCAAAGGTGTTCTATCGGGTTGAGGTCAGGACTCTGTGCAGGCCAGTCAAGTTCCTCCACCCCAAACTCACTCATCCATGTCTTTATGGACCTTGCTTTGTGCACTGGTGCGCAGTCATGTTGGAATAAGAAGGGGCCATCCCCAAACTGTTCCCACAAAGTTGGGAGCATGAAATTGTCCAAAATGTCTTGGTATGCTGAAGACTTAAGAGTTCACTGGAACTAGGGGGCTAAGCCCAACCCCTGAAAAACAACCCCACACCATAATCCCCCCTCCACCAAACTTTACACTTGGCACAATGCAGTCAGGCAAGTACCATTCTCCTGGCAACTGCCAAACCCAGACATGCCCATCGATTGCCAGACAGAGAAGCGCGATTGGTCACTCCAGAGAACACGTCTCCACTGCTCTAGAGTCCAGTGGCAACATGCTTTACACCACTGCATCCGACGCTTTGCATTGCACTTGGTGATGTAAGGCTTGGATGCAGCTGCTCGGCCATGGAAACCCATTCCATGAAGCTCTCTACGCACGGTTGTTGTGCTAATCTGAAGGCCACACCAAGTTTGGAAGTCTTTAGCTATTTACTCTGCAGACAGTTGGTGACTTCTGTGCACTGTGCGCTTCAGCATGCGCTGACCCCGCTCTGTCATGTGACGTTGCCCTACCACTTGGTGGCTGAGTTGCTGTTGTTCCCAGTTGCTTCCACTTTGTTATAATCCCACTAACAGCTGACTGTGGAATATTTAGTAGCCAGGAAATGTCATGGATGGACTTATTGCACAGGTGGCAACCTATCACGGTACCACACTTGGGAGTCACTGAGCTCCTGAGAGCGACCCATTCTTTCACAAATGTTTGTAGAAGCAGTCTGCATGCCTAGGTGATGATTTTGTACACCTGTAGCCATGGAGGTGATTGAAACATATGAATCCAATGATTTGGAGGGCTGGCCCAATACTTTTGACAATAGTACACACACACACTGTATATATAAATTTATTTATTTATTAGGAATGCACCAATACCTTTTGTTGATCAGCAAGTATGAGTACCGATACTTTTAGTAAAGCACTTGCCGATACAGAGTACCGATACTTTGCGGTGCAATATGCATCAATACAAAATGTATGGATGCAAATTGCACCGCAAAGAATATCATGTGATTTAAACAGGAATGCAATTCCTCTCCAAAATTGCATGCGGTTTCTCCACTGCTCCTGTGTGAACCAAGGCTTGTCAGTCTGAATTCACACAGGAACAGTGCGGGTAACCTCCCTGCACCAAATCCATGCTGTCAGAGATTAAGCTGGGGATTTGAAGTCCCCATGGCTTTCACTCCTCTGCCGTGCCGTCGACAAATCAGAAGCTGTCTAGTCCATATTGTCATCCCTGCAAGGAGAGGAGAGAAAACCGCTTCACAGGTCTGGGGATTTGAAATCTCTGTGGTTTTCTGGCTTGTGTACGTTTTAAAAGAAACCCTGTCACCAGTCCATTCATTTCAACAAAAATATTCCCACAAGATTATATGTACATTTAACATTTTATGATGTTTACCTGTGAAGCCTCCTTTGTGTAGGCATCCAAAAGCACTGAAACTTCGTTTTGATGTTAGCACCCCTAGCAGATTTAAGGGTTGCCATTCAAGTCATACACTCTTGTATTCCTTTTTGCTCTATCCCCAGACAGGTACATAAAAGGTTATGTACAGTACATCTCCAAAACATCTCCAAAATACGCCCATTCCTAACTTCAGAAACTACAAAGCAACTCAACACTCCCTGTTCACTCTACCTCCCCCCTCGCCGGCCTACCCAAACACAGGCTATCATATCACTTCAGACTTGACTACATCCAAACCAACCCTCCTCGCCCGGCCTACCCCCCCCGCCGCCGGCCTACCAGGCTATTACCGCTTCAGTCTCTCCTGAATACTGCGGCCAGACTCATCCAACTCACCAACCGCTCCGTATCTGCTACCCCCCCCCCGCCAATCCCTCCACTGGCTTCCGATTGCCCAACGCATAAAAATTCAAAATACTAAACACTGACGTGCAAAGCTGTTCATAACGCTGCCCCAAACTACATCACCGACCTGATATCCATCTACCACCCAAAATGCACTCTCCGCTCCTCACAAGACCTCCTACTCTCCAGTTCCCTGGTCTCCTCCTCCCATTCCAGTCTCCAGGACTTCTCCAGGGCTTCCCCCATCCTCTGGAACTCACTACTCCAATCCATCAGACTGTCACCTACCCTCCTCACCTTTAGGTGCACCCTGAAAACCCTCCTCTTCAGAGAAGCCTACCCCGCCCTCACCTAACAACTGATCTCCCACTCACCACTCCATCCCCACAGCTATTTCCTCCTGTACCACTCTCCCCTCCCTCCTAGATTGTAAGCTCCAAGGAGCAGGGCCCTTGAACCCCTCGTGTATTTTATTGTATTGTTACTGTATGTCTCATGTATTGTCTCCCATTGTAACGTACAGCACTGAGCAAACTGTTGGTGCTATATAAATACTGTATAATAATGTAGGAAAGTAAAAGGAGGGTGGAGGAGAGGAGCTGGGCCAGCACTGACAGTAATTAAGACAATCCCAGAAGAGAGAGGTCTATGACATGCAAGGAGGGAGGAAGCTGTTCTAGAGAATGGGCTGCAATCTTTCTAGGCAGAAAGGATTTCTAGAAAGGAAAAAAAAACATTGCAAATAAACATATGAAATACTTTATTTCTGTGCTTTCACCTGCATTTTTTCAAGTTGGTGACAAGGTCTCTAAATATTCCATTACCACTTTCTAGACAAAAATCCACAGAAGAACACTGTAAATAATTTGCATACATTTTATTTCAGAAAATCTATAAAAAAAAAAAAAAAAAAAAAAAAAAAAACAACAACATATGAACAAAAGTCTAAAAGACAGAGAAAATGCCGAGTTGAAGAACATGTAGGTAATCATATTGGTCAGGTTAATAGTCACACAGCAGTCACAAAAGATTGGATTATGTTCATCTTTTATCAGAATATCAAACTACAGCTAGATGAATACATCTGACCCCACTGGAATAATATGAGCGGACACAAGATCCATAGGATGACAAAGTCCAGCAAGGAACGGCAAAATTAAAGGGACCGTTCACCGAAACCAACATGGGTGGATGCAGGCTACCCACTATCATCTATGGAACCCTAGCAAGAACATTTCTGGTGAGTGGTTTCTGTTTTTAAATCAAACAAAAGACATTACTGATGTCCTTCTTTAAAAGTGCAGTGAGCAAAGTGCAGAACCCCCAACAACCAATCAGAATCTATCTCATAGTGGTCTGACCGCAGCAAAGTGAGCTCTGATTGGCTACCATGAGTTTTTGCACTTCGCATTCAATACTTTGCTTCTTACTTGGTTTATTAGATACATCCGAAGTAGGATGCAGAAGTTTCGTCAACAATGTCTTGGAAAGATCTATTGAACTGGTGGGTGGTTTAACCTGCCAGCACCCACCGAAAACGTAAATATTAGTTTCAGGTGGACTGACCTTTTAAGTTACAAAAGAAGAAGGATACTGACCTGTGAACGTAGAAGCTGTAACATTTTCATTTATATTTTTAAAAGATACACCAGAATATTAGAAAATAGGAATTTTTGGCAAAAAGAAAAAAAAAAAAAAGTATAAAAATAGGCTTGAACAATTTACATTGCACAGAACAGAACGATCGGCACAATTTGTATTTATTTTTGGGCTGAAATAGGGAAGGAATTTTATCAACCTGTCCCAGGTAAGGATATTTGTTGTGAGCCTCTTGGCTCTCCTGGTAACACGTCCGGGTGGATTTTCTATGGATATGTATCGAAAATTCACCAAAGGATCAAGTGTCACCGTCATCACCTACAATGGATCCAAACAATATATACGACACGAGGAACAGGAAGTTTAGTTCACAGCAATGTCCTGGGAGTCACCAAGACAGGAAGTCATGGAAAACCTCCAATAGGGAAATTAAAACCTGACAATCTAAACTTTAACCAAAAATAAAAGTTTTAGCTGAAAAGCCACAATTATGGCATTGTAGGCTACGACCATCTGTGTGCAAATTGCAAAGCAGCAAATGTGTCTTGGGGAAGGCACTGAGCACTGAAGCGTGGCACCGGTTAACCCTGTAAAATAGAAGGACAGCAAAAGGCACTTCTAAAAGGCAACAAAATGCATAGCAATGCGAGCAAGAGGCAAAAAAGTATACCTAAAAAAGGCAAAAATTTTTATCAGTTTTGGACAAAATGGAAAAGGGATTAGAATACCTGTCAGGTTTGTATTGCCGTCTGTGTCCCTGTTAGGGAGAGACATCCTCTTTATTTGTTCTCTAAAGTGACAGAAATGTTTGGGTTCTCACTAGAGTAGAATAACAGAGGAAATCTTCCAATGAGGGCACTTGTTATGGTAACAACCAGGGATTCCTGCACTCTGGAGGGATTTCTGCTCACTTCCCATAGTTATGGCTGTACAGGTCAAGTGGGCCTCTCTCACAGTTATGCTTAGGAGACTCCATCTTGTATTAGTTATATATGCAGGGTCCCCTTTTAAAGAATTCTTTGTCCAGCTGTGTTCTCATTAGAAAATAGAAGAGAAGATGTACTGCTAGGCATATAGCCAATGCTAACCTTGTAAGTTTTGCTAGTTAGACATGGAAATGTATTGTTCCAGGCAATTGACATGTGACTTAACGTTATCTCTTAGCTGTACTAAAGCCATTGTACGTTTTGAAAAGACAAGAGAAGGAAAATCCCCCAATGGGACAGAGATGGCAAAACTAAAAACGGACAGGGGATATAACCCTTATACGATCCAAAATGATTTTGAAAAATAAAGCTTTCCCTCTAGTTTCATTTAAAGATTTTATTGTTGTTAATATGGCAATAAAGGAGAATTGCCATTAGAGAACACTGGGACAACCATTACTGACCTACCTTGGCTGGTTGTTATTCTGACCCTCTTGTCACAAAGCTTTCAGTTACTAACCTGCAACACATATGCGGATAAGGGCTTGGATGGAGGAATCTCCACTGCTAGCTATTGTATTCAGACAGCCACAGCACCTTTGCATTCACTGTTCATCTGGCAATCTACAGTCATGTACCAGCCCTGGAACTAACACTGCACCTGGCAGTCAGCCCAATCAGTATCTAACAATGGATGGGAGCCTTGGCTGCGCCGAACATTATCCTGGGATGTTCACTTTAACCAACAAGGAGGTGGAAAACTTAAGTAAAAACCTAAAGTGCTGAGATTGAGGCACATAAATGGGCTCATTGATCACAAACACAGCAATTTTCAGGGCAAAATAGACCAACTGGACCAAGAAATAAAACTGTCAGTGGTAGGTTTTCTTGATCTTCTTTCTCATTTTTGCTATTGAACACCATTAATAAGAAGCTGATATTGCTATAATAGCCAGGTATGTGGTCAATATGACGGTTACTGCCTACACTTTAATGCATGACACATGGCAGCAGTATAAAAGTACGACACATGGAATGGACAGCTTTCAAAATTGCACAGAAAAGAAGATGTGGCTAATGAAAAACAATGTAAAGGGCAGTTCTAATGCACAAAATGCAAAGCAAAACAGATTTTGGTTACTATAGTTGAAAATCACACAGATTATTACCAAATGACTGCTGCGGGTAACTGCACTTTGCTCTTTGTCCTGACTGTGTGATCAGACACATCAAAAAACGAATAAAAAAAAAAAAAAAAAAATTATACTATAAACTATGACTATATTCACGTGAAATGTTGTGCTCTCATTGGAATGATGGAATTTGCATGCTGCTTGTGCATTCTGTGCTACTAACCTATTACTAGTAACTTAAATCCATGCATTAGCGTAGCTATAAACTCTATATATCCAGCATGAGGGATTTTAATGAGCATGCGCAAATTACGGTGAGAGCGCAAAATAGGTTTTAGTTTGTTGAAGTCAGATGTTCAAGACAATTAAATCTCACAGCTAGAAGTATGAGCAGTTTCACTGCACCTTGAACATCCATATTAGAGACCGTAATGTTGGTTAGTATTGGATAGAACTCACAAATTGGCATTTATTAATATCTACGTCTACATATGGAAAATAAAATACAGATTATATAAAAGGTCAAAGTCCAAAAGAGAGTGAGTGGGGAGTGAAGTGATCCTGTTGCCTTGCCCTACAAGACCAAAGCATATGTTCACCTTAAAGTAAGGCTGTAACCAGGCTATGAACATTTACATATTTAATTGAACAGTAAAGCTTTAAAATTAACCCTCACTGGCCTCTGTAGCTGCAGGAACTGTAGAGTATGATCTGCAGCAGGGATTACTTCCACTTTCTTTCAGTAGGTGGTTTGGCTCCCCCCTACCAGCAGTGACTTGGTAGACTTGCCAGCCTTTTTGGATACATTTGTATGGGTGATGCAAATCCCAGCGGCAGGAATCTGAATCCTGCTGCTGTGTTTGACAGCTACGAGCTGCTGGCTGTGGCCACCAAGCCTGTGCACTGTCATGACGGGCTGTCGGCAGCTGAAGCTATTCGTGGCTGTTCGCACGATCAGCGATTTCCAGTGGTAATCCAGGCAGGTTACGCATCCAGCCACGATCACCGCAGGTGACCAGATTTGAACAGCTTCTCATCTCTTTTCAACTTTGCAAATGGATTGCTCCACAACACCTGCAGCTACAGAAATCAGTAAGGGCCTGTTTTAAAGCTTAATTAAAGCTTGTTAAGAATATGTACATATTTGAATGTCCACAGCCTGGCCATAGTTCTAAGTTAAGGCCAACTTCACACTTTAGCGTTTTCCATACGTTACAATATTCCTATGGGTGTTTTGCGCAAAGATATGGCAAGCAGGATTATAATGCTCCACACTTCAACATATATACATGAACATAGCCTTAGCAGTGTGGACCTCTGATTTCAGTCCGGGTGGTTTTCACTAGGGACATCTGAAAAGGGGGGTCTGGTTTGTTCTACGCACTGGAATGAAAAAAACTGTGTCTAACTCTGTCAAGTCTATTAGAGTGGAATAAGGGGGGGGGGGGTCATTCTACAGGTCATGTTCCTCTGCTTGTAGCAGCAGCACCACATATTGAGGAGTTGCTCTTTTTTTTTTTAAGCGGCCTTCTGCTGTGGGGGGTTGACTGGTGATAGTCCCAGCAGCTTGAAATAGGAGACCAGTTTTTTGGGGACCTCGGCAAGAACAGCTTGAGTAAGAGCTTCTTTGGGTGCCTGGAAAATAGAACAAGCAGTTTTGAGTTAACAGGAAAACCTAGAATGGACTGAGACAGCTAAGCACTTTCTATGCCCATCTACAATCCCATGTTGTAGCAGAAGGAGGTAGACTTCGTAGACTTCATGGGCAGCAGGAATCGTACCCAACAGAGTACCAATCTATACAACTCGGGCTGCCAGTTTACAACAAAATTAAAAATGACCTCTTTCATGTGGTCTGGTTGGTTAAAGCAAAACACAAGGCAATGCTTTCGTTTTGAAAAAGGTAGGGAAGGTTAGAATTTCTGTCAGCCTATTATTGCTGTTTTGGTCCCCATTGGTGAGAGTTCCCTGCTCTTCCTCTTTTAGACAACCAACAGGATGGGAGGGGTTAACTCCCAAAGAGAGAAAATTCCACCTACGAGACAGGTATTCCCACTGTGAAATTTCCACTCACATCCTGTTCCTGTGGTAGCTGTAAAGGATTAAAATTTCCTTCATTTTCTTTCTCAGTGACAACTGTAAAGTAAGGTGGTGAATCCCCTAAATGGCCACATAAACCACAATAACTTGCCATTAATTTTAACATTTTTACAGCCCATCCAAAATTGGCCATCCTTGAACCTTGCAATTGGCTGATGAAACCACCATATAGGCCAGTAGGAAGATATTGAAGGTGGTAGGAGGCAAGTCAGAATTCCACCATAAAAGTTATAGTCTATATTTGTATAGTAAATCATGTAGACTTCACCTCCGCAACATCTCCAAGATACGCCCGTTCTTAACCTCTGAAAAGACTAAGCAATTTATTCACTCCCTTGTTATCTCTTGCCTTGACTATTGTAACTCCCTCCTCTCCTGCCGCTTCTAAAGGCGATCCAGCAGCTAATCAGCTGCTCGGATCACTTTTATCATAAGACCACCGCCTGAAGAAAATTTTAATACTGGAGTTACGACATCTAGCTGCAGCCAGAACCGCGGTATTAAACATCAAAATCATGACGTATTTTCCCTGTTAGACAGTTGGCAAGTGGTAGTCAATATCTGTAATATACACCGGTGCTGCTGAATGTGCAGTTGGCTACAGGAGCATAAAAAGGAATGATTGGTGTGGCTCTACTCATTCTAAGAAAGGAATAATCTTTGTTTCTGGGAGATGTGATTGAATGAAAACATATGAATGTCTTCTGTTCTGAACAAAAACTCTACTGTACTGCATGCAGATTCTGTTTTGACCCCTTTAGACCTTCCCGGTGATACCTTTTTATAATCAGATTGGGATGCACTAGTCAAGATGAGGACTAAATTCTGAGTGCTTTATGAATTTGTTTAGGAAGCAAAGAAATGTGAAAATAGTTCATTGTATGTTAAAAGAAAGAAAACTCTACTGTACTGCACGCAGATTCTGTTTTATCTCTTTAGACCTTCCCGGTGATACCTTTTTATAGTCGGATTGAGATGCACTAGTCAAGATGAGGACTAAATTCTGAGTGCTTTATGAATTTGTTTAGGAAGCAAAGAAATATGAAAATAGTTCATTGTATGTAAAATGAAAGAAAACTCTACTGCATGCAGATTCTGTTTTGATCCCTTTAGACCTTCCCGGTGATACCTTTTTATAATCAGATTGGGATGCACTAGTCAAGATGAGGACTAAATTCTGAGTGCTTTATGAATTTGTTTAGGAAGCAGCAAAGAAATATGAAAACAGTTCATTGTATGTAAAATGACGATATTCGCAAACAGCAATTTGTCTGCAGCAGTCACTTCACATTTTCTGATTATATTTGCACACCCTCAATCACAGTATTTGCAGTCCTCCCTTCTTCACATTACTGACTATTCCAGTGGAAACCCTGGCACTCCTACAGTGAAGAAACTCAAAATCCGAGCATGCCTCTGTCTCTGGGAGTCATGCTTGTGTCTATCAGTCTTGCAATGTCTTCGGGATTTGTAGTTTCACCAAAGTTGGAGATTGCCTATGCCTGGACTATGCCATCATCTCTAAACACAAAATAGAAGCCATAGGTCAAGCTTACATTCTGGAACTGTCGGAAGGGCACAAACTGCACAATATCTCTGGCGGCTGCTTCCCCAGTAGAGGCCTTCAGAACTCCATTGTCACCATCGAGGAATTCCATAGCCTTGAAATCAGCATTTCCTACCCCAATGATGATAATTGACAAGGGAAGTTTGGAGGCCTGGACAATGGCATTCCTGGTATCATTCAGGTCTGTGATCTCTCCATCGGTGATGATGAGAAGGACAAAGTATTGCTGAAAAGACAGAAGAGACAACTGGGTGAGAGGACATGAAAGCGGATCTAAACCAACACATTTTAATGTTGCATAGAGTATGGTATAGTCAAAACTTCTGCATGTTTTCTTTCCATCAAGAAGAGATTTTCTCTTTACTTTATGTCCTGTAGACACAGAATCTCTCTTCAAAGTGGGGTCATTTTCCTCATGGACATTGGTAACTAGAACAAGTGTCCCGATTGAACGATTTCCCCTATAAAAGATGACAGGACATCCCTTACTTGCTGCCTGAGTCACTGGACCAATATAACTCCTGCTGTCCACACTAATCTGACACTTCCTGGAGTGTCAATCTAAGTATTTCTCTGACCTCCACCCATTACAGTATACAGCAGCAATGTGGAAGTCAACAGGAAGAACTAGTGAGAGCTGCAGGAGATCCATGAGATCAACACTCACAGAAGTGTTGGTTTCCCTTGAAAATTCAGTAAAAGATTTCTTTGCTTCAGAGCAGAGTTTGGCAGTGCAGTCAGCAGGAAAGGCAAGATCTGTCTTCGTTTACAAGTATGCCTTTGTTTAAACAATTGTCTATAGTGAAATGGTCCTTCTAATTACATGACCAAGACCAGCAATGATATCCATACGGCCCAAAGACAGATTTGCTTAGAGTGATTACAAAGGTACTTTTTCTTTCATTAACAAACATGTCATACTTCTCTCCTCTGTGCAGTGATTTTGACCAGAGCAGCCCCAATCCTCCTCTTCTTGGGTCCCCCACTGGCACTCCTGGCTCTTCCCCCCTGCTGAGTGTCCCCATAGAAAGCCACTTGATCTGGGGGCACTTGTGTGTGCTCACTCTAAAGCAGACTGTGTGTCCATTGACACACACAGCGTGGCTTGGCCCTGCCCCCAGCTCCTCCTCACTGGCTGTGATTGAGATCAGCATGAGAATGGTTCCTGATGCTGCCTCTATGTCCAGTGAGGAAAGAGCTGATGCTCTCATGCACATTGCTAGATGATCGAAATCATTCTCAGGTAAGTATACAAGGTCATATCAAAATGTTTCAAGACTAGTTTTGTAACATGCCAACATATGGCAGCACAAGGCACAGGGAGCACCAACCTTCATAAGTCAGTGTGCCAAACAATATTGTCCTGTGTACAATGGGAGCTGTGCAACTGGTGCTATTCTGACCACGTGCGTTACCATGTCTGCAAATTTCATCATGGACAGCATGTTAAAACAAAGAGCAAACGTGAAATTCTGAGTGAAACTGGACAAATCTGCCAAAGAGACATTTTACATGATTCAGAAAGTTTATGGCGATGCTGCAATGAGTCATTCGAGGTGTTTTGAGTGGCCAGGTCCCCAACCCCCAGTCTGCTGACCCAGGAGCAGAGGAAATGCCACATTGAAGGTAATGCATGTGGTTAGAATAGCACCAGTTGCACAGCTCCCAATGTACACAAGGTCAGTGTGAGAACTATAAAAAACAAAAAAAGGTCAGCACTAATCCAAAAAATCAGACAGGGAAAAATATGATGTGTAGCTGCATGAAATGGATTCAGATATACCAAAATAAGTTATCCAAAAAAACGAAACCAGCGATCAAATCTGCTGACTAGGGATACTGAAAACTGTCATTCACTGAGGTGCAACCCTTAGAAGATTGGGAAACCTTGGTACTGGTACCAGCTCTGAAGAAGGGCGTACGTCTCCCGAAACAAGTCAGCCTACCTCATTAAGGGTCTGGTGTCACTTGGGACTGTCACCACTGCCTCTCTCTCTCTGTTTTAATCCCCTTTGATTTGTGAGTATTCACTTTTATACTTTTTAATAGACTCGTTTTTCACCACGGTAATGCACGAAGAGAGTGTGCCATGTTTTTGCTTTTCTTCACCAAAATCCTATAAGTGCTAGAAGGAGTAGTTGCAGCGTAAAAAAAAAACCAAAAACACAAAAATATTGAATAATGTCAATAGATAAATACCATCAAGTGCGAAAAAATAATAAAATTCAGATAAAACAAAAAAAATAATAAATTGCACTTGATTGTATTTATCTAGTGACATTCTTCAATATTTTTGTGTTCAGCACTGCAACTTCCCTTTTTAGCATTTATAAAGGTCAGTGCTCCCTGTGACTGTGCGTGCAGCCTTGTGCTGCCATCTGTTGTGGCGTGTTACAAAACTAGTCTCAAAACTTTTTGATACCACCTCATAAAGGGGAGGGGGGGGGGGGGGGACTGCAGAGGGCTACATGCAGAAAGTTTTTCTATGCATTAAGGTAAAAAACCTTGTGTCTTGACGAAGAGAGATTTAACCTCCAAATACAGAAAGGTTTCTTCAGAGTAAGAGCTGTGAAAATGTGGAATAGACTCCCTCAAGAGTTGGTTCTGGCCAGCTCAGTGGATTGTTTTAAAAAAGTCCTGGACTCTTTCTTAGATACACAGAATATAACTGGATACCAACATTTATAGGTAAAGTTGATCCAGGGAATATCCGATTGCCTCTCGGGGGATCAGGAAGGATTTTTTTTCCCCTGCAGGAGCAAATTGGATCATGCTTTGCTGGGTTTTTTGCCTTCCTCTGGATCAACTGTGGGTGTAGGATTATAACTCTTTTTTTCTTTCATGGTTGAACTAGATGGACTTTTGTGGAGTTTTTTTCAGCCAGACTAACTATGTAACCTTTAGAACCAAAATGAATTAGCTTGACTATACCAAGCGGTCATCAGGTGACTAACTAAGTGCTTCATATTAATGATACATGGAATACTCACAGCTGCCGTCTTCTGTTGTGCTGCAGATGCTGCAAAACCTGATAACATGATTGATAATGGGGGAGAAGTTTGTTGGCCCATACAGGCGGACCTGCGGCAGAGCCTGGCGGTATGCATCCACAATCCCTTGTACACCTGTGAAGGAAAGAAATGAGGTAGACTATTAACTTCCTTTAAGTGATTGTAAACGCTCTCCTTGTAAAACAATACATTCAGATTAAAATAGAAATGAAAGGCAAAACATTTGTGTATAGATATAAAAACATTATATACACCTTTTTTACTCTTTCCCACATACCCTCTGTTTTCAGCTGCATAGGGAGCTGGGGGAGGAGAAACATAAGCAAACTGATCTGGCCAGTGAAAAGCTATGTAGGGGAGGTATGTCAGCAGAAGTCTGATCACTGTAGAAGAGCACACAGAGTTAACAGCACGGCTAGAGATCTGACCACGCTGTGCTCTCATGCCTAATGTGGTCAGTTTTTAAGGAGAGCAGAGGCACTGGCAGGTTCATCGAGTATTCTAATACAAAGGAAGCAATACAAAGAGAACAGGATATGTTTTCATACAAGTACATAGCACAGCAGGCACATATCAGGAATTTGAAATGTCGGGTTTATATATTCTTGAATCACTTCACGTCCGGCCCATGTACATAAACGGCCGGACGGCAGCAGTGCAGGAGCGGGTGGGCCGTTTATAAACGGCCTTCGCATTCACTGCCTGTGCGCGCTCCCTGGGAGTGCGTGGCACCGGACACAGCGGAACACACCGGTCGCTGTACCTCTGTGTGAGGTCCCGATTCATGTGATCACTGATTGGCCAATCAGTGATCACATGAACAGTAGTAAACAAGATGGCACTTCTGACATCATTGCTTACTACTAGTGAAATCTGTGAATGAACACAGAGGTCACATGGTACAAGGATATTCACAACAGCCTTGTGCCATGTGACAAGCTGTGACCAATTGCAGCTCTCTCAGTATTTCTCAATGGCTGCAAGAATGCAGCCAGAGAGAAGGAGAAATGATTGCTTTTACAGCCTTTATGGGTGTAAGAGCAATCAGTGTAAAAAAAAAAAAAAAAAAAAAAAATCTTCATCACCTCCCACAAGTACTACAGTTTCACTATGGTGACACTGTACTGCTAAGGTGACGGTATGTTAAAAAAAAAAATAATAATATAAAAAAAAAATAAAAATGTAAAAAAAAAAAGGTTTTAAAAAGTATTTTTGGTTATAAACTAATTTGGGGTATTTTTTTTTTTTTACTAAAAAGATAACTGAATACATTTTGGCCAATATTTATGAAGAAAGATTATTTATTTGCAAAATTTTATAAGAAAAACACTTTCAAAATGTTTCGACTTTTTCATTTATATAGCAAAAAAAAATTAAAATCCTAGTGGTGAATAAATACCACCAAAATGAAGATTTATCTGTCTCAAAAAATGCTAAAAAAATAAAAAATTCATATGGGTACAGCGTTGCATGACCGCGCAATTGTCATTCAAAGTGTGATAGCGCTGAAAGCTGAAAATTGGCCTGGACAGGACGGGGGTGAAAGTGTCCAGACATGAAGCGTTTTTTTAAAGCTCAATTTCAGCCAATTTACCAAAAAAGTAATTCCTTTTATGAAGCTTGTAATGCTGGCCATGACCCCACAGAGGGAATTTAATTGAACTTTCAGTCCCTGTGACAGCAAGACGAGAAATACGGGGAGCAATCATCCAGGGACTGGAAGGCACAGGTAGTAATAATCTGATAAAGGTTTTACCCTTTCACATTTTAATATTTATTCCTTATGCCAGAGTTTCTAATGTTTCCCAATTTTGCTAAAAAATACTGTATATGGATGGATGCATGGAAGAGTTAGAACCTCTTAATTTTTTTTTTTTTTTCATTTTATTGTGGCGCATTCAGTCAGTATGAAAAAAAGGGCCTATGGGAAATTCAGTAGTTTATTGGGACTCCAGTGACATCTTACCTGAACAGTATGGATTAGTTGGGTTGAAGTTTAAGGCAAATTCATGAGAGACCTGCAAGTACAATATATACTAGGTTAGGATTAAAGAGACTCTGGGGAAAGAGTAAGGGTCAGTTCACACTAAAAAAAAAGCACTCCAGATACATTTTTGCTTAGAGTTCACACCACGCTCCATTCCGGTGCAGTTTTGATGCGGTTTGCGATGTTCCAGTATGGTTCTGTGCAGAAAAAAAATGCAGCATGTTCTACTTTTTATTCTGCACCAGAAACTGACTGGAACTGACTGCACTTTTGTGAACTAGGGCCATTGGAATACATGGAAAACACTGTGCATGCATTTTTGATGCAGAAAAAAAAACTGCACTGAACTGCATGTAGTGTAAACTAGTCCTAGGGGCCAGTTCATACTATTGGAACGCAGTCCAGATGTGCTCCAGATGCATTTTTGCATTTGCATTTTTGACACGTTCCGGCGCATTTTGATGCGTTCCATTGCATTTTTCCCCCCTCTTTTTCTTCAATTTAAACTGGGACATGTGCGTTCCAGTGCGTTTTTGGTGTGTTCCAGTGCGTTTTTGGTGTGTTTCCAGTGCGTTTTTGGTATGTTCCAGTGCGTTTTACCGCATTCCAGTACAGTTCTGTGCAGAAGAAAAATTCAGCATGTTCGACTTTTTTTTTCTGCAATCTGAACGCACTAGAACTGCAAGCACTGATGTGAACTATGACAGTGACCACCATATCATCTACTTTCTGCGCGTTTTGGATGCAGAAAAAAAGCAAATGAAACGCATGTAGTGTGAACTGGCCTTAAAGGTCTTTGTCGACAGGCTTTTGTGCGTTCAAAAAGGAATGAAAGCAGCTTGAAGATGGTTGAGGCAATGTAAAAGCAAGCCAGGAGGTCAGCTGCAAGCCAAATATATTTGTCATTAAATTTGATTTCAGGAGTGTAATCCAATGTAAAAAAACAAGCTGCACAGGCCTATTGAAACACAAAAAGCTCATTGACACAGATGGTATACTATTTTTCAACTCAGATCATTAACTTCCAAAAGATATTAAACAGTGGTAACAGTAAAATAGCAATCAGTTAAGCTCACCTTACATATTACAAGCAGATTGTACAAAGATTGTACAATCCCTTTAAAAAAGGAGAGGTGTCGGAATAAAAAAAAAAAGAAAACATCAACTCTCACTTTCCCACTGCAACATCAGCAATAATTCTAGCTCTAGACCTCCTCTAACTCTAAACAGTTAACCTGTAAAAAATTTTTAAAGCATCACCTATGAAGATTTTCAAGAACCGTAGTTTGTCGATTTTTGTCAAATTTTAAAGCGTGACAAGTTAGGTATCTATTTTCTCGCTGTAACATCCCCTTTCACATTTTACAAAAAATGTGGTATATATTGTGTTTTTTTTAATTCACTAAAGTGTATTTTTCCCAAAAAATTGCTTTTGAAAAACCGCTGTGCAAATACCATACGATATTTCAGTCTCTAGGGTCTTTGTTTATAATATATATACATATTCACATTATATATATATACATATTCACATTTATTTATATATATATATATATATATATATATATATATATATATATATATATATATATATATACACACACACATATACACACACACACATACACATATATACACATACATACATACACACACACATATATACACATACATACATACATACATACACACACACATACATATATATATATATATATATATATATACACACACACACACACACACACATACATACACACACACATACACACACACATACACACACACACACACACACACACACATATATATATACACATACATACATACACACACACATACATATATACACACACATATAATGTTTGAGGGTTATAAGCAATTTTCTAGCAAAAAATAGAGATTTAAACTTGTAAACAAAATGTCATAGAAAATTCTTGCTCTTCAAGTGGTTATAGTTTTGATATATCCAGTACGTCGACGCTTCGATTTATCAAAACTATATCATTTGAAAACCATTTGAAAACTATATCATTTGAGGTTCTTGCACTACATGGTTGTTGGAAGATCTAAAGAAGATGGTACAGGCAGGTTGTAAAGCGTGTTGAGCTTTTTATATTTATTTTATTTATTACAGGTACTTATATAGCACCATCAATTTATTCAGCGCTTTACATATATATTGTACAGTCACATCAGTCCCTAACCCTCAAGGGGCGTACAATCTAAAGTCTCTAACTCACATTCATACATACACATACTAGGGACAATTTAGACAGGAGCCAATTCACCTACCAGCATGTCTTGTGTGTGTGTGTGTGTGTGTGTGTGTAAACCGGATTACCCAGAGGAAACCCACATAGGCACAGGGAGAACATGCAAACTCCAGGCAGGTGGTACCATGGTTGGGATTGAACCAATGACTAGTACTGAAGTGTTAACCATTTAGCCATTATATTTGAGCAAACTCCATTGAGCGGTCCTACCTGATAAAATCTGTATTGAAACGCACAATTCCATCCACTCCTAGACAGTTTCTACTTCCTAGACAACGTACAAGCTATCCCCTTACAAGGACACTAGAATTTTTTAATTTTAGAAAACCAGTTGGCTGCAGGGTGAACTACGAAGATCTTTTTTTTTTTCATACTAAGTTACAAAACGTTTTGTGTAGCAATGCTGTTTATTATCTTTATGACAATAATGGAGTTACCCTTTAAACAAACCGGCCATAACTGAGCCACTCTTCACCCAGAACTGCAAATCACAAAATATGGCAGAGTAGTATCATAAGCACACTATGAAATTGGGCGGTGTATATTGTGTTTTGTCATTTCATGACACATTCTGGTTGCATCAGAAACACATTATCAGTCCTATTCCTCAGGGGCGCAACTACAAATCATCCCCATAGCAAAATTTTGAGGAGAGTCTCCACCTAATTCTCTGTAGCATCAGGCAGTGTCCACTGTGACAATATAGGTCTTTAATCTTAACACCGGAAGGGGCCATTGTAGTGGATAAAACAAGAAACAGTTTACGATTAAAAAAAGTAATACAAAACATGTATTAAAAAAAGAAAAAAAAAAAAAAACGGCCAGACTTCATGAACCACATGTTTTTTTTCAGCTGTCACTTTTCCATGTTTCTATAAAAGTTACAACAGTAGTAAAAATAATAACCATAAAGAATTTTATATTGTGACAAAATATTATGCTCTTGCACACAATTACTCTATAACTCTAATTCAAACTTCAGTCTGTATCAGAAATCCAGAGGGCAATAAATGTACACTGATAACACAGCTAAGCAAATGCTTCTAATAGCTGCCCATACACTGATTCAATTTGCTCAGTGGGTGGCCCTGTCGGCGGCCCTTTGCCCGAAATCCCTTGGTCAAGAAAAAAAAAAAAATTAATGAGCAGGATGGGGAATTATCGACTTAACAGTTGCTGCATTTAATCAGATGCAGCTGCTGTTCGGGTATCTTGACAGCTGTCTGCGCCAGCTTGCAAAAGACAATAGCTGCAGTGGGAGATTTGTCCAACAGTGCCGAGTAATGTGGAAGTAATTTGTGCAATTTTCTTTGTTCAGCCTGCAGGCTGAACAAAAATAAATTATCATTATTAATAATAATAATAATAATAGTGTCTCCAGGTTTACTGCACAGGTGGATCCTGGAGGTCCAACTTCAGTCCTTCTAATCAGGAAATTTCAGATTAACATCCACCCCAATGGAACTCTGCTCCTACATTAGGCCCCATAGCAGTCATGTAGGCTGCTATGGCTACTGTTACACCGCTGCTACTCACTAGTTTTGGCGATGACAAGACACAAGGATTACCTAGTATATGGTATGCCATTTTATTTTTTCTTTACCTAGTTCCATCTTACCTTCCAGTCTGGAGGAACCTGAGCACCAAATCCAAATGCTGGGAACAGTTTGTCCCTAAAAAAATAAAATGCATTAAAATTTTAGAGGAAAACTAAAAAATGTTAATCTGTTTTATAAATATTGAGAAGTGAACTATTGGCCTGGACTTTGAATGTCCTTGATTACAAAAAATGAAAAATCTGAAGTAGTGACTATAGTCAGGATATCTACTTAGTTGGATGATGCAGGAGAAGAGACCAGGGGCAAAATATCTCCTCTGGTCTCGTGCCTACAACATGTAACATCTTAAAAACTCCATCCAAAAGTGATATTTTAGTTACTTATGAAGACTGATGGCCTGAGTCAGGGCCTGGCTTCCTACGGGACTTGGATACTCTCCAACAGAAAAATCTCTATGACGTAAATCTCAATGGTTTCTCTCCACCTGAGAGTTTTTTTCTCCCATCAACCTCTTTGTGTTACAACTTCTCCTGTTATGTTGTTCATATTATTAAATATATAACTGTCCAGTAGGGAGTCTGGGAGCCCTTTATAATGGGTACAGCCAGGGGCGGACTAACCATTTGGAAACTCGGGCACTGCCTGAGGGCCCGGGGGTCCGTAGGGGGCCCCATGAGATGCCCCTGGTACTTTTTTCATAGGCTTGAGTTTGGGCAAGGACACAGGGGCCATATGATCCTCTATTGCCCGGGGGGCCCCATGAGTTGTCAGTCCGCCCCTGGGCACAGCTGGCATGCAACTGAGATCCCACCAACATAGGGGCTGATTTACTAAAGGCAAATAGACTGTGCACTTTGCAAGAGCAATTGCTCCATGTCTTTGTAAATGAGCTGAAGCTCTGCTGACTTCCATCATCCAATCATGTGCAAGCAAAAAGGTTTTTTTTTTTTTTCCCTATGTTCCTTGCATGGGATTGGGTATTCTTTGCAAAAGTGAAGCTTTACCTCATTTACTAAGGTCTGGAGCAACTTCATTTGCACAGTGCACAGTCTATTTGCCTTTATTGAATCAACCCCCATAGTCTCTGAGAGACCAAAGAAACCATGAGGGCGGTTAACTCCCCAGCATCTACCAAAATATAAAATTATTAGTTTTGGGTGATCCGATCCTTTAACTGGAGATTTGTTACATCTGTACATAGTGCCTTGTGCAATGATGGTTCACTTCAGTTAAGTCAGCCATCCTCGATTCTTAAAAAGTAAATCATAATGACAGACTTACGTGTCGTAATCCTGGACCACGTTCCCCACGCACCAGATTGCACTCAAGTACTCATTCACTCCATTTGGGCTAATGTAATGGAGTGAGTCGGGTGATTTGGGATCCCCATTGGAACCAGTGAAATCTATACCAACCTGAAATTATCAGATAGGATTTATTACACATTATTGTTCCTTGCATAAATATACAATGCCTGAATAGAAGCTGGTTTATCATGTATACATCATTTTTAGTTCTAGCAAAAGCTATTGGATACATATATATATTTTTTTTTTTTCTTTCTTTTTCATTCAGATCTTTATTTATAAGGATTCTTACCCACAATTTACAAACAAGAAAATACACAAAAAAAGAAAAAAAAAAACAAGAAACACCCACCTCGCAGGGCAGGGCGAACAAATAAAACAGAAAAAAAAAAGTGTGTGTGTGTGTGTGGGGGGGGGGGGGGGGGGGGGTCGAATGCAATCATCATATACATGAAATAATCGTACATTCTATGTGGAAGTTTGAAGCCATATGGTCTACATGGATAAAGTTCCTAACATAGTAGGTATATTTTTCATAGAAAATATATTTATAAGCTCTGTTATCCATTCAAAGAGAGAAGGGGGTCATATGTATATGGATTTTGACATATTAATTGTCTCTTTCTTAGGCTAGGATGGTTGCTAAATAGAAAATGATCTGATCACTAAACCAGGCACCTGGATTCATTCATCAGTGTCCATCTTTCCAAGATCATTGAGAGTTATAAGTAGTCATGCTGAGTGTGTCAACCATATGCACCATCATGACTGGCAAATAAAGCAGATGAGGAAAGGTTTTTTTTTTTTTTGTTACTGATCCTGACAAGTACAAATTTCACATGAAAAATTGATGACAGCTCCTAGTTTGTGTAATGTTTCCACATGTTTGACGGAGACACATGAACCCCTATAATTAATATTTATTCACAGAAAGGGTTGTTATTCTGAAATTGCATTGGTGGGCTCCTTAGGTCGAGTTTCTTGTCTTCCCCCCAGCCCGGACACCACCCCCCATTGACTTCTCCGTCACATCCAACAACGCCACCATCAAACCCGCCCCGCAGGCCAGAGTACTTGGTGTCATTCTGGACTCCAACCTATCCTTCCAGCCCCAAGTCCAATCTTTAACAAACTCGTGCAGACTCCACCTCCGCAACATCGCCAAAATCCGCACGTTCCTAACCCCAGAAACCACTAAACAGTTCATTCACTCCCTCATATCACGACTCGACTACTGCAACTCCCTCCTCACTGGCCTGCCCTGCCACAGGCTATCTCCCGCTTCAGTCGATCCTGAATACGGCTGCCAGACTCATTCCTTTCCAACCGCTCCGTTTCCGCCACCCCCCTCTGCCAATCCCTCCACTGGCTTCCGATTGCGCAACGGATCAAATTCAAAATCCTAACGCTGACGTACAAAGCTGTCCACCATACTGCCCCGTATTACATCACTCACCTAATATCCAAGTACCGCCCAACACGCACACTCTGCTCCTCACAAGACCTCCTTCTCTCTAGTGTTATGCCGCCTGGCAGAGTCTCTAGCAGCCCACCGCACGAACGCTCTCAGGGCGCGGGGTCTAAGTCCCAGCCTGCTGTTCACCAGGGCCCCTGATGGTGGGGATAGACTTGGTGCAGACTGAAACCAGGTCGCGACCCCCGAGTGCGTCCTGCGGTGGTAGAGAATACTGACAGGGGAGTGCAGGAACGGAATCTACTTTGGAAGAGGCAGACAGATACACGGGTCTGATCCAAACCGGATGGATGGATGGATGGTCGGGTACGGTATGCGTGGTCAGACAGGCCGGGTCGGTATTATGCGGGCAGCGAGGTACAGAGGAGCGAGCTAAGAATGGTCAGGTCACAAGCCAGGTTCAGCAGGATGCGGGCAAATACAGTACCAGGGATCAGACAGAAGAGTAGTCAGGCAAGCCAGGGGTTAAACAGGAGAAGAGCAGAATCAGGAACAAGCAGAGGTCAGCAACGGAGTATACAGCAACACAGGAACAGGATACAGGACACAGGATACAAGACCAAACGGCAACGAACATACCTGTTCCTACGTTTAAATAGCCCGCCTCCCGCTGTCATTGGTGCCAGGCGCGCGTCCGTGATCCCGAGTGCGCATGCGCGAACCCCGCCGCTGCCATGCGCGGCCAGGTCCTACCGCCCGCCGGGTAGAGAGAGTTGGTGTTCTGCGCATGCGCCACCCGACGCGATGCCGCAGAACACCTGGATCCTGACATCTAGTTCCCTGGTCTCCTCCTCCCATGCCCGCCTCCAGGACTTCTCCAGGGTGTCACCCATCCTCTGGAACTCCCTGCCCCAACTCAACAGATTATCACCTACTCTCCTCTCCTTTAGGCGCACCCTGAAAACCCATCTCTTCAGGGAAGCCTACCCCACCCCCTGCTAACCTGCCGACCTCCTCCACTCTTCCTACCACTCCATCCCCCACAGCTATCTCCTCCTGTACCACTATCCCCTCCCTCCTAGATTGTAAGCTCGAAAGAGCAGGGCCCTCGATCCCCTCATGTTTTGCATTGCATTGGTATTGTTCTGTCAATGTTCTGTCCCCCTTTGTAATGTACAGCGCTGAGCAAACCTTTGGCGCTTTATAAATACTGTATAATAATAATAGTTTCAAATAGCACTCAACGGAGTTCTAATAAATTTAAAGCCCATTTTTAGGCAGAAATCTCTCATTCCCTTTTCACCCTTTCAGTTGTGAAAAAAAAAATGCCTTCTAAAAGCACAGATCCCCAAACAAGAATCTTCCTCCTCTGCAGTGAAGAGGACAGGAGACTCAGGACCCGACAAGTCACATGTTCATGGATTAAAGTGTATAATTTGGGTTTTTAAAGTTGAAATTTTATCTAAATCAGTGATTAATTCTGGAAGGGGCTACGTATGCCTGAAGATCAGCTTTAAGTCATTAAAAAAAAAAAATCTATGTCCCATCAAAACTTTGTACAATAACTGCATTGCAAGAAAAATGATGACTTTGTGTACATTTATATTAAATACAAAACAACAAGTACAAATATACACAAAAAAATGTAAATGATCTTAATTGTTATACAATTACTTACAGTGAAGTTGATTTGGCAGCCACCCATCACATAGTCCAGGAAGGAATACTCCACGTCTATCTAGATAGAGAACAATCACCATTAGACATCAGTATATTGCCATTACCCTAGAAATTATGCAGTAAATTATTTTTTAAAGATTTTTTTCTGTAGGTCATTTTGCTGGTTGCCACAAATGGACATGCATACACAGAGTAACTTGTATCTAATATCACACGCAAACAAGAGGTGGGGGAGGGGCGACTGCGCTGGGTGCAATTGTTTATTGCAGGGATGTAGGTACCCCGAGTTCCTTTTCTTACAAGGCTGACAGGAGTAGTGACAGCAGCATCACTACTCTTGTCAGCCCAGCACTGGGGGCAGCAAGGATAGAGCCAGTAGGACCTACGGGTTGCACACGTCCTGAACAGGAAAGGGAAGGTTTGGCATCTTTGCCCTGGGAGCTGGATTACGTTGTCCTGGCACTTGTCTCTAGTAGCCAACACAGACATGCTAGTTCATAGGTGATAATACTGGTCCCTAGTAGCACCCAGAGACTAATCTGGACCAGAAGCATTCCTGAGACTAGCTTGTCCCTTAGGCTGGCCATACATGGGTAGAAATTCGAACAATCAACCGATTTTTGCTCTGTTAGAGGGTCAATAGCACTGGCCGATTTTCATGGTTCCTCCCCTTTTCAGTGATCGGGCATGTTGGAAAATTTGTGAAAAACAACCGATTTTCGACTCAATGATGGTCAAATTGTACGATCGTTTTACCGAAAAGAATATGCGCATGAGCTGTGACCTGGAAGGAACAGAAGTTTCGCCTGTTATATGCGGTGAACTTTAGTAACATTGCTGGTCGACAGTAACCTGAAAATGTGCAGGGATGAGAATTCCTGAATCCTAATCAGAGTTGTGCTTACAAGTAGCCCCAATGTGCTGAAATATTGCAGGTCCAGAAGTGATATGCCAAAATGATTTGATTCCTTTAAAGAAGCAATACCACACAGTCTGGGTAAATTAGCCACAGACAGGCCAACACATCTGTCCTGGTTACCACGTTCCCCTTATTTCTTGTCCTGGTGTGCCCCACAGAGAAAGGAAATCTCCGCAGTGAAGTCAATAACCAGCAGTAAAAGTCTGACACAGACCCTTCTCTACTCTATTCAAAATTGAAAAGATTCTGGCTGGAGTTAGACTTAAAATACACATCAAGAGACAAAACATTACAGAGAAGAGAAAAAAAACAAAAAAAAAAAAAACAACATACTTTACAAAACTTGACTCGAACAATCCCAGAGTTTTTGTAGCCCTTCTTCTTCTGCTTTTTTTGGGGATTAATGCATTCGAATTCCACCTATGCAAAATTCACAGACATTTGACATCAAATAATAACCAAGTATTGCTATCTGATTTAGGCATCTCAGTAAGTTCACTTTCACTGGTGCACAACCATAACCAGCCCCATCCATAGTGATTAACAGCAAAAGTAGTTTTGAGAACCTCAGGCTTTTCCAAACAAGCATGCATCAGAGCAGTGATTAGCCATTGTGATGCACCCAAGGCTGGATCTATACACTGTGCCCCTCAGACTAAATATGGTGCCCCTCTCCAAGTCTGATTGGCAAGGCTAGGAATGGAAAGGATGAAAGATGGTCTTGCCCACTCTACACAAACTAGCTTCTCCCAACTTTTTAAAATCACCAAGGAACATGTGAAAGTGGTCAGTGGGAGAAGGGCTCGCTTTACGTTGGTGGTCACTGGGAAAAGGGGCCCACCCTACCTTGTCAGTGGGAGATCGGTCCCCTAACTTTGGTGGTCAGTAGGAGAAGGGCCCTCTTTACATTGGTGGTCAGTGGGAGAAGGGCCACACCATACCTTGTCAGTGGGAGAAGGGCCCTCTTCACATTGGTGGTCAGTGGGAGAAGGGCCCTCTTCACATTGGTGGTCAGTGGGAGAAGGGCCCTCTTCACATTGGTGGTCAGTGGGAGAAGGGCCCTCTTCACATTGGTGGTCAGTGGGAGAAGGGCCATCTTCACATTGGTGGTCAGTGGGAGAAGGGCCATCTTCACATTGGTGGTCAGTGGGAGAAGGGCCATCTTCACATTGGTGGTCAGTGGGAGAAGGGCCCACCATATCTTGTCAATGGGAGACTGGCCCCTTACTTTGGTGGTCAGTGGGAGAAGAACCCACTATACATTGGTGGTCAGTGGGAGAAGGGCCCAGCATACTTTGTCAGTGGGAATAGGCCCTTTACTTTGGTGATTAGTAGAAGGGCCCTCTTTACATTGGTGGTCAATGGGAGAAGGACTCTAATTACAGTGGTGGTCAGTGGGAAAAGGGACCCACTTAAGATTTGTGAACAAGGAGAAGGAGTCCTTACATTAGTGAACAATGGGACAAGGGCCCAGTTTATATTGATGGTTTGTGGCAGAAGGTTCCACTTTACATTGTTAGTCATTGGAAGAAGGGTTTATTGTATATTGGCCATCTTTGGGGAAGGGTCCACTTTACAAGGGTGCTTTCGAAAAGCGCGTTCTATTACATAAATGGCCAACGGGGGAAAAATGCTGACTTACATTGGTGGTCAGTGGGAAGACTGTCCCCATACAGACAGCCAAGATGATTATTGGTGCTAGTGTTTACTTATATAGGAAACAGGAGGAGAGGCTTTACTAGTCCTGCTCGCTCTGCCAGGTGACATTGCTGCCGGATCTATACAGGCACCTTCAGAAGGGAGATCGATCTAGCAAGACTTACTACTCAAAAAACCCCAAGCCGCCTCTGGCAGGACCATGGTTTAAAAAGGCTGAGCAACAGTAAAAAAAAAAAAAACAAAAAAAAAAACCATAGGGCAAACGGTCTCTTCATTTTTGTTCTAGGTGTATAGATGCAGTCAGCAACATTATGTTTGGGTGGCTGTGTGCCTTTTCTGGTAACCATGATTCCCTCGGCTATGACCTATGTTGGTTGTGCATTAATCCAGCCCTGGATGCATTCATAGCAGAGTAGGAGATAAGTAGCAAAGTTACGTGATTGTGAATAAAAACATTAAAGAGAGCTCACCGGGGAACCTCCTCCTGCTTTCTGCAGCTGAGACAAGTTAGTCTCAAATATCCCTATCAAGTCATGTGAGCCATCGCTATCATAATCTGTACAGTGAACCTAGAGAAAGAGAGGCACGCAGTGAGAAGAGGTTATAGGGCTCACCGGCTGCTCCTGAGCTCCCAGCAGCTTTGAAGTGACGCACTCGAATTCTCCTATGAGATCGCAGCTGGAGCTGTCATCGTGATCGCTAACTGAGACCTGACATCGAAACAGATACAGAAGCCCAGACACATAAAAAGTTTTTAATTACATTGTAGAATTTTTCAAAATGAACCACCAGCATGGCCATTCACTGACACAGTTGAAGCTCTAATCCAGTGCTGCAGGCTGCGACTGTCTGACTACCAGGTGAGGGGCTAGTTCCAAGGCAGGTAGAGTCCTGTGTGTGAGGTTATACACTGATCTGCCCTTGAATCAGCTCTGCTCCGACAAGTCAGGCCACGGTAGCCTCCAGAACTGGATGGAGGCAGAGGCTGTGATGAAAAGCAACCTTCCTGACATAGTCCCGTTAAAGAAGATATTTCACATTTAAAGTCAGTCATTTATCAATCATTGTGGTGCAGTTTATGATTTTTTGTTTTGTTTCTGTAACTACCTTCATCGCATCGCTGGTATAAGCCAGCAGAAGTGGAAGGCAAAAATTGTAGAATCTTGGTCCTCTTTAAAAGGTGATGTATGTGTTTTTGAGAAGAATATATCTACCATGTTTGGTCCCAAAAAGTAAAAATGTAATTTTTTTTTTTTTTTTTTAAGGCCTGGTGCACACTGGTGTAATTTCAGCTGCGACTTGAGTCGCACAAAATTCGGATTGTTTTCAATGGTGTTTGTTCACATCAATGCAGATTCTGGAAAAAAGGTCCATGGAACATGCAAACCAAATCAAAAAACGCAACCAAGTTGCACTACATAATTGTACTGAAAATCAGATCAAAGCGCAGCCACAGTAATGTGAACCTAAGCTAACAATAATAACTACTGCTTTATGAATGTTTTGTTTTTACAATAGAGAGACACCACCACAGACCAGACTCTGTACAGCAGGATGGTTTCTGTCCTGAAAGTACCAATTATGGCAATTAAAATGCTAAAATGTATTAAAACATGCATCAAACTGGAAAAATATATTAAAAAGCTATATTTATATAGTTCAACATGTCCATAACCCATTGGGTTAGTTGACTGTACATACCCATAAAAACACAAAATTTATTTTTAAGCAACCCCGATGCAAATAGAAAAAGTAAAAAAAATATTTTCCTCTAAAGCTACATCATTCTTCCCTATCTCACAAGCTGCTGATCCTCGCCCTCTTCATGGAGTGTGCAGAATCATCATCCAACACCATTCTGGGAGTGTTAGATTCCTGGTTTCCCCACTGAGAGCTGTGGTTCCTTCCATGGGCAAAAAAACTACTGACCCAAAAGTGGCTGGTGGAAGGAACCACAGCAAACAGCGGGGGGGACTAGGAATCGAACACTCCCAGAAGTGTGTAGGAAGGAAGATTGGAAGATTTTCTAAACAATGTGGTTCCTAAAGGGAGTTAGGATCAGCAGCATAGACAGCAGCAAATTTCTATATATCTAGAAATGTTTTCCAAGTTTAAATAAAGCATCAGGGTCACTTTAATCACATATCCTGCATGGAAACTGGAGACATGCAAGTTTCTGGGGAGCCCAGTTGCAATGGAACATAAGAAAATAAAATTTGTCATGTTTTTCTGAAAATTCTAGTTGTCCAGCCACCATGTTGACAGTTTGAGTCACTGACCCAGAACAAGCACACAAGTGAAGTCAGAACTCCTGATCTACATAGGGGACTCAAAAGGACAAGCACAGTAGCCAGGTAAGTAGCATTGTCAGGGGAGGGCTAAGGAACCTGTTCACACCCCATGTGGCTGCATTATGGAAAAAAAAAAAAATTTCCTGTGGAGGAGTGAAGAGAGGGCGACTATGCAGAAAGGGGAAAGCAACATATAGGCTTCAGGCACATGGCCTCAAGAGGGCCGTACAGTGTACATCAGGCATAATTCTCTGCCCAAGAGTCACAGGTGCATTGTACAGTGCACAGGCTGAGTTTGGGGTAGCGCATATATCCCTGTACGCAAATACCACTTGGATGTGCATTTATATCAGTGTAGTGTCACTACATACTTCAGCCTGTCATTGATTTTGACAGGCTACTGATAAGAGGCTGTAAACTGAATTTGTGCCTCCCAGGTAGAGAATTATACCCAAATGTATGGCTGAATGGCCGTATTGCAACAACGTGCATTTAGCCTGTTGCTTTGCACCCCATGAGAAAATACAGGTTCATGTTAGACCCTGAATCATTAGAGGACTTGTAAATCAGTACCCCTGCTGATTACCTGGCTATGTTGGGCTCCCTTACTTGAAACACATACCTACAAAAAGCACACTGCAAATGAAAGTCAGAAAAACAAAGACACAGAGGGGAGAGATTTACTAAAGCTGGAACACTCAGTATCTGGTGCAGCTGTGCATGGTAGTCAATCAGCTTCTAACTTCAGCAATTAAGCTTTGACAATAAAACCTGGAAGCCGATTGGTTTCTATGCAGAGCTGCATCAGATTTTGCACACTCCAATTTTAGGAAATGAACCCCAGAGTCCTAAAAATCTCAATATACTTAGCCCACATCAGTGACTCAGAATTCGATGAAGCCAGAGGGTCAACATGACAGCCAGACAAGTAGCATTTCAATTAGAAAGGTTAGCAATGACAGCCTATATAATGAACATGGATAGGGCCCTTCCCTAAACAGCTGAATTGTGAGAAGTCATCCGGTCCGACACAATCTCACTCCTCACCTTGATAGGTTTATTTAAGTCCCCCCCGCACAAACTCTGCAAGGTAACACTGAACTTCTTCCAGCAAGGATTTAGATTGTTCTTCACCACCTGCAGAAACACAGAATACACAATTTATTATACAGCCACTGAAGCCAAAGAAAAAAAAAACTTCACCCATATCACAACAAGAGCCATATATGCTGCAGTGAGCTCCAAAAAGGTGTCCAATACAATGCAAAAAACCCACATTCACCCTGGATTCATCCTTTGCAGATGGAGCGCAAGCAGTCTGTGTTCTGGGCATTTGTCTCTGGACACTTACCGCCCTAAACATTATTACGCCCCCCTCCCATACAGAGTGGGTACAATGCATGGGTGAAACTCTACGTCTGGAGAAGTACATTTACCAACACAGAGGCTGTTTCCGTAAATTTGAAAATCTTTGGTGCCCATGGTTGGGAACTCCAGGTGAACTTATAGATCAACTTCTCATAAGTTGAAGTTGTATCTCTATAAAAAGGGTATCTATGGGTGGTATTCTTTCCTATTGGAGGCAACTGGTATAGTAGCAGCTGCACTGTAATTATCTACCTCGGACCTGGAAGAATTCTGTTAATTTGAGTTGTATTCCTGATGTCTTTTGTTCTGATCCAATGATGTTTATTCCGGTTAGACTCATTTCAGCTCATACATTATAAATTTGTTCACCATAGGTATCGGACGCCTGCCAGGCTAGATAAAAATATTTGGTAACAACTCATCCTCCTGTTGGCATTGCTCAGGCTCTGGGTGGATTTTATACATGTTTTCTGAGAATGGAGTGCTTCAGTGTGCCCACTCTCTGTCACTACTATACCCCTTGGACTGTCTATATGGCAGTGCCTCTTGAGTTTAGCGGATGACTTGGCCCCCACTAAGGCCATACGTACTTTTCTTACCTGTCTTTTTTTATTATGCACGTAAACTTATCATACTGTCTTGGAAGAAACCTGTGGCCCCAACTTTTGCCGCTAGGAAAGCTCTTATAAATAAGGCCCTCTCATTATAGAAGGCTACTTATGCGAATAGAGGGGTACCTCTTAAATTTGATAAGGTCTGGGGTGGCTGGGTTGCTTCCCCCCCATTCGGTGGCAGACTGAGGGGTATCGAATTTTGGTTCCCACAAAAATTACATTAGGCTGTTCCTGCCTACGGCTTAGCAGACTCGCTGGCCTGTGAGTTACATAGTCTGGCTGAAAAAAAGACAAAACGTCCATCCAGTTCAACCATTAAAAAAAAAAAAAAAAAGTTATAATCCTATACCCACATTTGATCCAGAGGAAGGCAAAAAAAACAGCAAAGCATGATCCAATTTGCTCCTGCAGGGGAAAACATTCCTTCCTGATCCCCTGAGAGGCAATCGGATATTTCCTGGATCAGCTTTACCTATAAATGTTATATCCAGTTATATTCTGTGTATCTAAGAATCAATCCAGGACTTTTTTAAAGCAATCCACTGAGCTGGCCAGAACCAACTCTTGAGGGAGTCTATTCCACATTTTCACAGCTCTTACTGTGAAGAAACCTTTTCGTGTTTGGAGACTGTCCTCTGTAATGACCTCAGGGTGAATAACTCTATACACAGTTCACTATATGAACCACTGATGTATTATACATGGAGATCATATCCCCCCCTTATGTATTATACATGGAGATCATATCCCCCCCTTATGTATTATACATGGAGATCATATCCCCTCCTTATGTATTATACATAGAGATCATATCCCCTCCTTATGTATTATACATGGTGATCATATCCCCCTTTATGTATTATACATGGAGATCATATCCCCCCTTATGTATTATACATGGAGATCATATCCCCCCTTATGTATTATACATGGAGATCATATCCCCCCTTATGTATTATACATGGAGATCATATCCCCCCTTATGTATTATACATGGAGATCATATCCCCCCTTATGTATTATACATGGAGCTCATATCCCCCTTATGTATTATACATGGAGCTCATATCCCCCTTATGTATTATACATGGAGATCATATCCCCCCTCATGTATTATACATGGAGATCATATCCCCCTTATGTATTATACATGGAGATCATATCCCCCCTTATGTATTATACATGGTGATCATATCCCCCTTATGTATTATACATGGAGATCATATCCCCCTTATGTATTATACATGGTGATCATATCCCCCTTATGTATTATACATGGAGATCATATCCCCTTATGTATTATACATGGAGATCATATCCCCCTTATGTATTATATACATGGAGATCATATCCCCCCTTATGTATTATACATGGAGATCATATCCCCCCCTTATGTATTATACATGGAGATCATATCCCCCTTATGTATTATACATGGTGATCATATCCCCCCTTATGTATTATACATGGAGATCATATCCCCCCTTATGTATTATACATGGAGATCATATCCCCCTTATGTATTATACATGGAGATCATATCCCCCTTTATGTATTATACATGGAGATCATATCCCCCCTTATGTATTATACATGGAGATCATCTCCCCCCTTATGTATTATACATGGAGATCATATCCCCCCCCCTTATGTATTATACATGGATATCATATCCCCCTTATGTATTATACATGGAGATAATATCCCCCCTTATGTATTATACATGGAGATCATATCCCCTTTATGTATTATACATGGAGATCATATCCCCCTTATGTATTATACATGGAGATCATATCCCCCCTTATGTATTATACATGGAGATCATATCCCCCCTTATGTATTATACATGGTGATCATATCCCCCTTATGTATTATACATGGTGATCATATCCCCCTTATGTATTATACATGGAGATCATATCCCCCCTTATGTATTATACATGGAGATCATATCCCCCCTTATGTATTATACATGGAGATTATATCCCCCCTTAATCTCCTCTTCTCAAGAGAGAATAAATTCAGTTCCTCTAATCCTTTCTCATAGCTGAGCTCCTCCATGCCTCTTATCAGTTTAGTTGCCCTTCTCTGTACTTTCTCCAGTTCCCCAATGTTCTTTTTTGTGGATTGGTGCCCAAAACAGAACTGTTCATGTCCTGGACTTTGTGACACCGTGCCCTTATCTGAGGAACTGGTATGGTGGATGTTCTTTGTAACCTGTAGGATGTATGTTCTCTTGAGTGGGGGGGGGGGGGGGGGGTCTTATCTCCTGAATGTATATGTATACTGATGGTCACTGTGCAGCACGTGCATAGTTTCCTCTCTTTTGTATTTTGGATGACTACCTGGCATTTTCTGGCAGAAGTCATAGATTGTTATGTCTTTTGTTTCAACTTTGTATGTTCTATGTAAAATACTAATAAATAGAATTTAAAAAAAAAATTGCTTTATTCCATGTCCGAGAGGAAGTTCTGGAAATGCTGTACAAATTACTTTTTTTTTTTTTTTTTTTTTAATCAAATTTTTATTAAAAAAATTTTATAGAAAGAAAGACAAAAAAAAAAACAAACAACATTACCACCACTCCACGCAACATCCAGCCACAGAAGCTTTCAGCATTACATAGAACTTAACTGCCGTTATCAAGGACAGCGAGCCTGTGCCTTCGATCTGCACCTAAGTCCTGTGACCTCAGGAAGCGGGTCTGAAAGCTCAGTGTACATGAGATCTAATAGAAAAGTAGCATGAGCATTGTATTGCCTCCTCACTGCCTGTGTTACCCCAGGTTGTGGGGCACCCCCATTCAGCTCAGTACAGCCCGCTGAGCACAACAGTGGGGTAAATCTTTGCCACTTTGCAATGCAAAGCATCATGACTAAGGCATATGTAATTCTCCCTCCTCTACCTTTGCAGCATAAGTTGGAGCAACCGAAGGAGTTAAAAACTCAGCTGAGTTGTCACACACAAATATATCTTTAGTGTGTAAACTACTGATCCCCTCACACCCCATATAATAAAGTATACCAAAGAAAGACATGTTCAGCCTGGGTGACAACCATAGCACCTACCATAGATACAGCAGGGGAGTGAGAGCAGCCACCTGCAAGTTTACAGATGCAAATGAAGTGAGAAAAAAAATAAAATAATCAGAAAAATGGGAAATATTGCATCCACCACATCTAAAGCCTGGTACACACAATGAGAAAATCGGACAAACGTTCATCAATTTTCTTAAATTGTTTTTTTGCACAATTTTTTTTTCATACAAATACTATACTGATTACATGAAAATTGTTCATTCTGCCATCTTATAAGTTTTGCGCTTGTTCCTTCATATATTTTCACATGAATTGTCATTACGGGCTCTCTAGTACTGGTGTACTAACGATCAGATAGGGCGATCGTTACGAATGCAGGTTTTTTTGGGGTTTTTTTGTCTGATGTTCTCATCAGGTGTACAATGCTAAGGGCTGGTAAACTGCAATAGATTACATTTTTGATTGTGGGTTTAGATGCATTTTAAACTATTTTTTTCTTTAAATGCAAGAGGTCACTGTGTAACCCTTTTAAGGGATAACGATCTAATGTGTAGGTGATAGTCTACCTCTGTCCTGTGTGCTAGTTGCCAGGATCCATCATCGCCTTGCCTGTACAACTCCAGGAATGGATCGGATTTACCAAGGAAATCCTGCAAATAAAAATTAAAGAAGGAAATTACATAGAGAAATAGCTATACATAACAGGATATAAACAGTGATTACCCAAGTAAATGAGGTCTATGCTACACTGACAATGAGGTTCAGAGGGTAGCATTTCCTTGGCTTTTAATTGTTACAATTTAGGTAGTTTGTAGTATTCTTAGATTACAGCCAGTAACTTTACCCAATATTGATAACTAGATTCTAGAAAATGTATTCTCCTAGATTGTAAGCTCCAAAGAGCAGGGCCCTCGATCCCCTCATGTTTTGCATTGTATTGGTATTGTTCTGTCACATGTTCTGTCCCCCTTTGTAATGTACAGCGCTGAGCGAACTATTGGCACTTTATAAATACTGTATAATAATAATAATAATAATAAATTCTGTATCAAAGCACTGTATTCTGTGATATTACCCATCTTTCCATCCCTCCATCAATACATCCATTAGGTATATAAATTTGAAATAGTGTGTTGAAATTTCACATCTGCCATTTTTACATGGAGCCATCAGTGAACTTTCAGTCACTGGCTCTCTGCTCCGCCCCTCCAGCTCTTACTGGAATGCGGGGATGGGCAGGGGGTGGGAGCAGCTGGTTCAGGGTCTCAGCACTGTGCTGGGAGGCCGACGCAGCTTTTGGGCAGGCATCTGGGTGGATCCCGACATTATTGTTGAGATACATCCAGAGACTGGAGCAGTTCGGTGACGTCAGCCAGCTTTAGCCCACTGTTGGCTGATTCTGGGTCACAGGAGTGCAGAAGTGAGTGCACTCCTGAGACACACGATAAGTAGGACTTCTCTTTTAAGGGGCCAGTCCACCTAAGAGCGCATGCACACGGGGCATTTGGAAAACTCTTCTGAATGATGGAAACTGACTGCTGGAAAACGTAGGTTAAAAAACGTCGGTTTAGCCGTGTTTGCATAACACGTTTATCTAGGTATGCTTTTAGAAGTGTTTTTAAAAGATAACCTCAGGAGACCCTCCCAAATGCCCAGAATGCACTGAAAAATAGTAAAAAATTAACTATTTCAGACATTTTGAGAGGAATAGAGAGGGCAGAAGCAGAGAGAGCAGTATGTGTTGAGATTAGCTGTCTTTTCTGGTTGTATTCACTATGGATCCCATCATGAGCAGAATGCAGCACGTTCTACCATTTGTTCCTTCACGCAAAACCTGGAACTGACTGCGCTGGTGTACCGGGTCCATTTGAATACTTGGAAAAGGCTTTACATGCATTTCTGATGAAAAAAGGCTCTGGATAGCATCTGGATATGGAACAGTAAAAAAACGCTTCTAAACGCAAACGCTTATAAACACTGTTAACCGCGTTTACAAGCATTTGAAATGTTGGTTAAATCTACTCCTGAACGCAAGTTTGGTGCGTTCAAAAAAACAACTGTAAACTCAACTGCCTGTAAATGACTGAAAACGAAGACGTGGACATGGACACATAGGTAAACATTAGGGAGAGTTCAGGGGCTGCTGAAAAAAACACTGAACAGCTCCTGAACGCCTTCAGTTTATCAGCTGCAGTGTACAGGATACCTAAAAGGTGAGTTTTCAGCTTTTGGGAGATGCTGGGAGATAACAGACCTTATACCTGAAAAATTGCTTTTGGACGTACTAATTCTTCAAGCAAGATTATGTTGATAGTCAGCATTATTGCAATACCTTTTTGTCAAGGTTCCTAGCTTCCACTTCTAGATTTACAACTCGAGTGTCTTTAATCTCCTCTGCAGCAATCTGTTTTGAAGAAAAAAGTCAAGCATTTTAAACACAAAACTTCTACATTTCAAAAAAGTATCAATGCTCTCACATTTTTTCAAATCACACTTTACCATATAACTTGGATGAATCTGTTAGTAATGCCACGGAGGGCCACAGAGAAGACAGGAGAATACTGCATGTGACCCATAGGGGTTTATTTACTAAAGCTGGAGAGTCCCAAATCAGACTCCCTTCTGCATAGAAACCAATCAGCTTCTAACCTCAGCTTGTTCAATGAAGCTTTGGCAATGAAACCTGGAAGCTGATTGGTTTCTATGCAGAAGGGAGTCTGATTTTGGACTCTCCAGCTTTAGTAAATAAACCCCATAATGTTTGACATGCCTAGCCTGAACAATAAATTGGTACACTATACGTTGCTTGAATTTGATGCAGTCCAGCCCAAACCTTCATTTATAGTCACTGCTTGAGAGTTAAACCTCCACCTCTTATGTCTTTTAAGAGACCTCACAATCTGGGATAAAATCATCAGGTTTGTACCTCAGCATTGGAACCCCAAAGTGGGCAGGGACAACAAAACCCTAAGCTGGTTAGAAACAGAGTTGAGAGCTAAATCACTTGTAGGCTCTTTCACATAGACATTCCAATGAGATCCGCCTGTCCGTTTTTCAGGCAGACCCGAACAGAACTTCCCTTCTCCTCTATGGAGTGGGGGGTGTAAATGGACATGTATCCGTTTACACCCGCCGAGATCCAATCCGATCTGCAAAAAATTGATGGATGGGGATCCAATTCTCATTCCATCCTTTGGATCAGGTAGGATGGAAATGGATAAGCGGTCCATTTTCATCTGAATATCAAGATGATTCAGCGAGCGCTAAGATGATAAAAATCTAAGCAGCTGATACACTACAAGGAAACCCTATAACCTCTTGAATGTATGTGATGTAAAAAGTGCAGCGTTAGTGAACAAATAATCCGTACTACATCAGAGTCTGGTCCATTTTCATCTGACCGCCCATTGAGGAAAGTGAGCTGTTCTGTGTCCGCTCTGCAGCAGACCTGTCATCTGCTTGCTCAGTGGGAATCAGTGGAGAGATCCCCTGCTGAGCAAGCGGATGTGCTAAAGTGGTCTGCCCATGTGAAAGGGCCCCAAGTGGATTTAATAACAACTGGAATAAATAGACACACTGTTATGTACCTTTTGTTAGCTTCATGGGTGCCCTAGGACCCCTTGAATGCTCTGACATGATGATCTTAACCTTTGTCAAGAAAGCTTTGGCCTGGAAACCCCTTGTTTCTTGCTGGTGGACACCGAAGCTGCTCATCAAATTTTACAATAAATATGAAGATTTTGGGGGCTGAAGATGTGGACCAATCTTTGGCAAAAACCCTACCATTAGCATTTCCTTCACTGAACCACACAACATTGTGTAAAGAGGCTCTAGTATGACAAGCTGGAACAAATAAGGACCTTGTTCACAAAGTGAGGCCAGATTGACGGGAGTTATCCCAGGCATGTATACCATAATGGACAGCCCAAGTCAAACCAAGATTGTGCGCACCCCCAGTCAGTAATTCTAGGATCAGCTGAGGGTCATCCCTATCCACACAGCCCCAGAATACAGGTCACACAAAGCAGTGGAGTGTCTGATGTTAGGTGATTTTTTTATTTTTTAAGTTGTCCTTTAAAAAACCTCCTCTCTCTACCCTTTGCCCTTTGTTCTAAAACATCAAAATGTTACTTGTGACAGCATGATTGTATAACAATTGTTATTCCCCTTGGAGCCTAGCCTAAAATTCATGACAGATTAGCTGAAGATTTGCCACGCTATGTCTTTAATGCTTTACCTGGTGTTCGCCAACCAGATTTAGAAGTGTGGTGGGTTCAGAGGAACATGGGTAGGGTATAAAATGAAAATATGTAATTCTTGTCAAAAGTATGAACACAAGACATTTGAAAGTGTACACAAATCGTAAGCCGTTAACATTTTCTTTACACCATTTCAGAATTTTGCTTTTAAACATCTCGCAACCTAGTAACTCACAGTAATTGTTCCTTTTCCTGCAGGTTTTCCTTTCTTTAGTTCCAAGGTCCCTTTCAGCTTACGATTGGACACAATCTAGAGGCAAAAAAAGGCATTATTATAAGCAAAATTTGCTACAAAAGTCCTTTTTATAATTTTTTTTTTATTTAATTGCATTTCAATTTAAATCTCCAAATGCTGCAATTTACTCGAATTGTCAAAACCTTCAAATGCTGCTTCCCTATAATAGGGCACCCCAAAGGCTTTCTTTCACTGTTAGTGTACAGAACGCCACCAGAAAACTTATTTTTCTGCTTGTGTGATTGCCCAATGCTTTTTCACAAAGATCAAAATCCAAGAGTCTTGCTATAGGAGTATAATAGGAGTACAATAATGTACCTTGGTACAATAATGCATTAGGACCTATGACCACCTAAAGGGATGCAAACATTGCAGGTTTCTCTATTTAGAACACAGTAATGGTACCAATGGGGGGTTATAATGAAGGTCAACCCCATTCAAAAACCAGTTTGAAAAGGATTTTGGAAAGCCCGTTTGACTACAAAAAGGGTGCTGTAGATTCCTAAGAAACTAAAACTCAAGTAACCACAATCTTTAAAGAACTGTCAGCTGCCTTCACACGTATTTCTCTATTTTCCCAAATTCTCTCAAACCTTGAATTAGCCTGACCATCTTGCACTACAGAGAGAGACATTGTGTGGTGGCACCATTGGCAAATAACAACTAAAAGTATTGGGGATCTGGACAAAAGGTCCATTTTTTTCCAGAAATAAATTTTGTTTGTTTTATTATAATCAGACAAGCTTGGATGTATTTTTATGTGTTATATTCTTGTTGCCAAGGTTATTGATTGCTGATTGTGTTTTTCTGGTGCTGGAATTGTATGTATAATATTCATGGAGCATTTGTAATACCTGGCCTAGGGTGCACTCATATCCCCCAAGATAATCATCATCGTTTAGATCCACAGATTTGTTGTCAATGTCGTAGACTCCAAACTTGATACTCTGAACCTTCTCAAAGTAATAATCTACGACTGGCTTTGTGGAGAACTCAGGGCTCTGGCAGTTCTTCACCTTCTCCGTTCTTGCCAGCTACAATGAAAAATTAGAGATGCAGGTAATTTAACATGCACCAAGGGAATCAAATTCAAGTAACACTAGAAAATGTACATGCAGTATATTAATAAATTGAATTACCTCTGACCACTTTCCATCACCAATGCTCTGTAGTACAACACACAAGGGGTCAGATTTCGATCCAATATCTTTGTCCAACAGATCTGCGCATGAGATGGACAGCTGAATTTTGGTCACACAATGGGCCATCTGTTAAAGGCAGAAAACATTACAGGCTGCTGTATATCATAGCTGGAATTTAGAGAATGATCAAGTTTGTTCTACTTGTAAGCTATTATTTACGCAAAGGCCTAAATGGGTTCAGAAATAATGGTTTGCAGTAATTGCAAGAGCAACTGGGTCCCCTAAATGCTTTAGTACCGCTTATCCAATAATGTAGGACATTCAGAGCAGACAGGTACAGTAAGAAGAATAGCCCCCATGGCAGAGATGTGGATGACCAGTGCATGGTACATAGACACCCACTTTACCCCTGTACTTGCTCCTATGATCTTGTTTGTGACATTGTATTGGCCACCAGCAGCTTCCTTACACAATTTTTTCCTAGATTGTAAGCTCGTAAGAGCAGGGCCCTCGAACCCCTCGTGTATTGTATTGTTAGTGTATTGTCTCATGTACTGTCCCCCCACTTTAATGTACAGCGCTGAGCAAACCTTTTGGTGCTATATAAACACTGTATAATAATAATAATAATAATAATAATAGTGCATGTTATGATAGGAGAAAGTTGCATGTGTTAGTCAATGCATGGAGCTTCTTACAGATAGTCTCCTTGCCTTATGATGCTTTTCACCTATCGGATAGATAATGGGTTTCCCTCCAGGAGTTCACCATTTTTTTTCACTTTGGTTTAATATTTTACAAATTATTAGTGGGTATTGGTCAAATTTCTTTAGTGTATATGATCGTTAATCCTTAGGCAGTTAACTGGTTTCAGCATAAAATTCGACCTTCTGAACAAGTCATCCTATTTAGGGGTTCCATCTATCTTAGGCATTTTTTTTCCATTATCCATAATTGGTTTAATGCAGGGTGGATAAAAATCAATGATAAAAATAAAAAAATAAAATCTCGGATTTTTTTTATTTAAATCGGATTTTTTTTTTAATAAAATGCTTTTTGAGGAAAATATATTACCATCCAAAGGTTATTCCATCATGAAATAAAGATTATTTTTTTAATTATGTAGAATAAGGCTGTATGTGTTTAATTTTTTGGTAAATAAATTCCATGAATCCATTCACAATGTCATGCTCTTCCAGAGGTTTTTGTAAGATTATTGGGCAGTTTCTCTGCCTACAAGATATTATCACAGATGCTTGGTTTACTTTTGCACTTCTCAAAACTGAATTTGACTCAGCGGAGATCACATGCCTCTTCTTCACAGCAAAAATGTTATAACATGAACAGAGTTAAGAAAAAGACCTTCATCCTAACTTCTACAAACCTATGAATACAGAATCAACCCCTTCAGTGCTAAGTTTCAAGAAGTTCAGTGAATAGAATAGAAACAATATTTTTCTGATAGTTTGGAGTGGAATAGATCTGCACAAGAAGAAAGTGAAACTAAGTGTGAGGAGGAAGGGGCTGACAGTCTAAGTTTCTTAAAATATATATATTTTGTTTAGCCAAATTAGTTAACAAACACGGATGTTTAAGCAAATCACATATGCTGGAATGTTATTGTTTCAGTTGAATAAATCTATTTAAATTGTTATTATTAAGGTAATGATTATTTTTCTCCTTCCTAAGTACAACAGAAAAGTTGTCCAAATATGAATGATTAACCTATTAAACTGGGGATAAAAAAAACTAATATGAAAAGTTGTTATTCTAAAAATCTTCATCTACTTGCATATTAAAGTTATACCAGCAAGAATTAGTCTTTATGTAGAAAACTAGGATTTAAATCAAGCCTTACTGACTAGTGATTTAAATCAGTTTGATTTAAATCAAACCCACCCTGGTTTAATGTCCAAAAATGTTAAACATCCATGTATAATATCCAGCCAGCTGATAAATTGTTGATATTGTGGTGCGATCTCTAAATTTTTCTGAGAAATTTTAAATGATTTTATGCGTTTAGGGCAGAGTTTTCACATCTTCTCACTGATTATGTATGCACTGAATTTATTTTAGTACTCAATAAAATGAATTTCTTTTGAGGGGAGAGGCTTGGTAGTCTTTGCGGGAGTTGCAGTGTTCAGTCCTATCCATTGGATCATACACACTCACTGGCCACTTTATTAGGTACACCTTGCTAGAGCCAAGAAAATATCCCCCACACCATTATACCACCGCCACCAGCCTAAACCGTCGATACAAGGCAGGATGGATCCATGATTTCATGTTTACACCAAATTATGACTCTACCATCTGAATGTCGCAGCAACCAGTCTGCGCATTCTCCTCTGATGGCATTAACAAGGCATTTTTGTCCACACAACTGCCGCTCACTGGATATTTTCTCTTTTTTTGACCATTCTCTGTAAACCCTAGAGATGGTTGTGTGTGAAAATCCCAGTAGATCAGCAGTTTTTGAAATACTCAAACAAGCTTGTCTGGCACCAAACAACCATGCCCTGTTCAAAGTCACTTAAATCCCCTTTCTTCCCTATTCTGATGCTCGGTTTGAACTTCAGAAAACTTGTTCTCACCACATCTACATTCCTAAGGGCATTGAGTTGCTGACATGTGATTGGCTCATTAGCAATTTGTGTTAGCAATTGAACAGGTGTACCTAATAAAGTGGCTGATGAGTGTACACAAGAAGGCAAGTAACAAAGTTAAAAAAAAAAAAAAGGGGGGGGATATTGTTTCAAGCAACAAGTTGGTCATTTTTTATGTCGAATGAATGGCAAGGAAAACAGGGTTTTTTGTGAGAGGGTAAATTACAAAATGCTTTATGTTGCAGGTATAAATCATAGCAGGATTTCCCTATCATTTAGCAGTGGTAAACCTTTACCTTCAAAAACAGGATCTTCGAAAAAAAAAAAAATATGCCCACAAGTGACAAATTATGTTAAGCAGTCAATGAAATGCCATCTAAAAAGAAGAAGTTTTGTGTTTGGCTCTCCTAAATGTCCAATATTAATATCTGATATAAGAATCAACGGATGCATTAGCAGAGGTTAGATCAGGATACAGAAGCAAAAACACTACACTTCTTCACTTGTGTTCCCATGAATTAATCCAATCATCAGCATCACACACCCCACATTAATATTAAAATGCCTTTATTCTTATGAATATCATGACTCACTGCCGTAGTTGCCACAATTAAAGCAAAATTGAAGCCAAAAGAGCCAGCGCTCAACTACATACAATATTTTTTTTCTTCTAAATTTTAGTTTTGGGTAGAGGGGTGCAGAGTCAGGTTTTTATTGAGAGTTGCATGGCCCCATGTGAAGCTGGTCACACACATACCGATGTGATCATAGAATCGATCGCTCAAGGAAATTAACACAAGCAAATAAAAAGGTAAACCATTGCCCCTCCATTCGATTAATTTAGTGAAATGATTGTCTGTGGCAGAATTGTGTTGATCACTATTCATCAGAACAAATCTGAGTGTGTTGGCAGAACCAATTGTAATCCAGATTGATTAAGTGAGCATTTTTAATACACTGCATTTATTACAGGTAATTATATAGCGCCATCAATTACGCAGAGCTTTACATAGTACATTCACATCAGTCCCTAACCCTCGAGGGGCGTACATACAATCTAAGGTCCCTAACTTACATTCCTACATACACATACTAGCAGGGGCGGACTGACCATTTAGAAACTCGGGCACTGCCCGAGGGCCCGGGGTCAGTAGGGGGTCCCATGAGATGCCCCTGGTACCTTTTTCATAGGCTTTTTTGAGTTTGGGCAAGGACACAGGGGCTCCATGATCCCCTATTGCCCGGGGGGGGGGGGGGCCCCATGAATTGTCAGTTCCGCCCCTGCATACTAGGGCCAATTTAGACAGGAGCCAATTAACCTACCAGCAGGTCTTTCGAGTGTGGGAGGAAACTGGAGAACTCGGGAGGAAACCAACACAGGCACAGGGAGAACATGCAAACTCCAGGCAGGAGGTGCCGTGGTTGGGATTTGAACCGACAACCCTAGTACTGCCAGGGGAAAGTGCTAGACATTTAGCCACTGTGCTGTATAAAATTATAACAGAGAGATCATATTTTCAATCTAGATTTTCAGTTAATCGCAACATGCAGAACAATACTGTGTGTGCTGCATTGCTTGATAGTTTACTGGATAATGAATTGTTTGTCTGATTAACTCGTGACCCTAAATCAAGGTTTCTCATCCAAGGTTCCTTGGAAGCCTAGGGTTCCTCCAGAGGTTGCTAGGGGTTCCTTGAGCAACAAGCAATTATTGCCGTTCAGATATGTTCCTACAGACACTATTGATCTTTTTAGCCATCTATAAAGGGGGTAATTTTTCCCAATGACCACAAATGTAAGGAGCATTCTCCCCCTTCCTGACCATCACAATAATGTATCATAAGTTGTAGATATTGTAATTTTTATCAGCAGTTCTCCAAGGCGGGAAAGTTATTTCAAGGGTTTCTGTGTTGGAAAGGTTGAGAAGTCTGCCCTAGTTGTTCACAAATAACGAGGTGCACCAAACTTTACTAGGATCAGAATGGCCTCAGGAGTGCCCCCTATTCACACTAACGGAGGAACAGTCCCTCACACTAAGAGGAACCCATATGGACTTCTCCAAATCCCTTCCATGAACTAGTGGCATTACTAACCGATAACAGCATGGCAGGGACAAGTCCCAGTGCCATAAATACTTGTAAATAAACTACTGACATAAGAAAACTTGTCAAAGCAAACTGCTGCTTACTGATACGTTTATTTTAATGGTACCTCACTTCCCTTTTGATGGTACCTCACTTCCCTGTGATTAACGGACACTGCCGTTATGTCAGTTAAAAATATGTCTAGTTAGCCAACAAAAAGTTGCATGATTAATCTCCATGCCCAGCCTGTCAGTTTAGGTGGATGGCCATGTCTTGGTAGGTTTGCAGTTGTGCCATACTCTTTCCATTTTCGGATGATTGATTGAACAGTGCTCCATGAGATGTTCAAAGCTTGGGATATTTTTTTTTTTAACCTAACCCTGCTTTAAACTTCTCCACAACTTTATCCCTGACCTGTCTGGTGTGTTCCTTCATG